GTAATTTTACAATTATCAAAGCATTCAAAAAAAAAAAACTACTCTTTTAGATGTATTATCTCCTGTCATAGGGGAACTAATTTTTCTGTTCCCCTTAAACGTAAAATTTCTCCATGAATATTAAAATTCGATTCACCTTAACAGATATTTTGCATTAACAGTGTTCATTTTAAAAGTGCTTTAAGATTTCACTCAAAGTTTGTATTTTGCCATGTAAAACTACATTATTTAATATGATTAACAGCTATTTTTCGTATGGAATTATCTTTAGATAAATGATTTTTAACTAAAACTGATTTTTAGTTAAAACTAAAACGCTAAACGGACTCTCTTCGGAGTATTAAGAAAATATTAAATGATTATTGCTATCAAGTAGTTTTTGGAGAACGTTAGATATTTTCTACCCAGACTAATATAGGTTTATAAAATTAAAATAAATAAAAATCTACGTGCAACGTAAATTGTAGCAACATTAAAGTTTAGATAGATCTAATGAATTAAGAAATTATCGATCTGGCTATTAGCAAATATTTTTAGAGAAAAGGGAGTCTTACTTTAGTTTCCCTGAAAATCTTTTGATAACTATTTTAAATATATATCAAAAAACAAACTATGTAAATCTTTTAAGAATTAATCGATGTTTTTCGTTGCTAACATAAAATTTACTAAGATCTTGAGAATCTTAACTAATTATCTCAGAAATTAACCTTTCTGTCTTGTTTCTAAATAGCCCCTCAAAAAATTCGCTGAAATTTAGATGAAAAACACTAAAATTACATTTTGGGTTGAAATAAAAGTATTTTCTAAAAAATATTAAGGTTTTAATAAATAAAAAAATGATAACATATTAAGAGAGCATTTGACACACACCCTCAAGTTTACTAATAAATATAGTAAAATAATGAATGACGTCATCAATTACGTGAGACATACATTAGTAAAAAGCACTCAATTACGATTTATTTTTATTTAAAAAGTTAATTAAAGTAAAATTTTAAAAAAAAAACATTTCTGATTGTTTACCTAAATTCGAAAGTGATGTTAAATTTAAAAAAATAATCTTACCTATATTCATAAAACTAACATGACATAACACTAAATTGAAAAAAATGAATCGAATACTAAATTAAAAGAAACCAAAGTCCACGTGGTCATCCTCTAAGGTCACCCCACCCTCTGTTTATGTCCTGCATTACCTCTTTGGGAACATTGGCGAGTAGCTTAAACAAAATTTTTACATAGAGAACATTTATTTACAGAGAAAGTTAGTCTAAGAACATAAAATTTAAAAAATAACAAAATATAAGTGTATTTTTAAAACATATAATATTTTTTAAAAAAAAAGGAGGAAATGAATAATTTAGTGAACATTAAATCTGAGTCGCGTTCAACGCCCCCGTAACCTGGCTCAATGACGATCGCTGGTCTTACCCGCCCTTCCGCTCCGCCGGTCCTGACTGCAATACTGAATTACAGAAAACAATTGCTTGTAATCGTGATTACAACTCTTCACAATTTTCATTATACCTGTAATCGTGATTACACTTATCGATTAGAGAGTAATCAATTTGTAATCCTGATTAAAATTCACCATAATTTTGATTACTACTGTAATCTTAATTTCAAGCAATCGTGATTACTTGTAATCACTGCAAAAAACGATTACGGGTAATTATGATTACCAATAATCGAATTTTACGATTACTTGTAATCGTAATTTCAAGTAGTTGTAATTACATGTAATCTAAATATACAATCGCAATTAATTACAATTGCATATTATATGTAAATACAGTATGTAGGTGCATACACATTTTTATGTGCGTAGAATGCACTTACGTCTATTAATACTATTTACTATTGTATGATGCAATGCTTGTCTGTATGTATAGATATAAATATAAGTAGAATGCGTAGGTATGTACAGTGAGCAAAAAAAAAAAAAAATTTAAATAAATAAACGGACCACCCTGAATTGTTTTTGATCCTAATGATCGAATCATCACACTCAAGGAGTCAATAAAAATGGTTAAAGAAAGTGACTTCAAATGGGCTAATTAATTAGTGCAGACGATATTTTCAGTTACGAAATCAGACATAAAAACGTACATTTACTGAATAAAAATACCTTTTTTTTGTTGTTGCTGGATTTAGAATTTACAGATCCAAAATATAGGGGGTAGCCGCAGTCTAGGAAATATGGTTCAAATTCCCCTTACTATTAAATTTACTGCTTGCGTACTTCGTCATATTCGGACAACTTTTTAAGAAAATACGAAAGAATTTCCACACAATTATAAAATTTGTTTATCCAAACATACACGCGAAAAATAGCTTTTAATGTATATTTATTACTTCTATTGTTTCGTTTGATAATAGTCGAAAACATTTTGATTTGTAAGGTATACATTTTTTTTTTACATCCTTTTAAAAAATATATTTTTACATGACAAACTGGGAAATTTTACCAAAATTGGTCAAATAGTTCTTGAGTAATCGAATTTAGAAAAATGCCATATATTTAAAATTCGATTTCTCTTACTCTTCGTTTGATTTTATTCAAATTTTATATTTTGCTATCTAAAATTACATTTTAAAACATTGTAAAAAAATTGTATAACTCGCATTTCAAATTTTTTCGACTATTATTAAACAAAATGCTAATCAATAATAAATATTTACTAAAAGTTATTTTTTTGCATGGAATTATCGTTGGATAAATAAGTTTTATTATTGTGTTCAATTTTTTTTTGTTTTTTTGATCCGCTTAAAAAGTTTGTGAGCTATGACGAAATACTCAAAATGTAAAATTAACATTAAGGGGTCCAAACCTTGGCTCGCTTTTCTAACCAAACTATTAGGACTATATTTATTTCCCAGATTACAGCTACCCCTATATTTTAGGGGTCAAAAATCCGAATTAGTCTGGAAAAAAGTTATGTTTATTCAGGGAAAGTATGTTTTTGTGTCTGATTTCGTAACTTAAAATACCGTATACACTAATTAGTTAGCACATTTCAAGCCACCCTCTCGAACCATTGGGATTGAGTCTTGGTACGTGAAGATTCGATCATTAAAGTGATTAGATCAAAAGTTATTCAATGTGGCCCGCTTAATTTTTTTGCTCATTGTTACTGCATAGACATATTTTGTGCTCATACAATGTTTGTACCTATTTCTGTACCTACAATGCTTGTATGTACACATGAATATACAATATATGTATGAATGCGAATACAACATACATACGTACTTATCTGTTTACATGTACAAACATACACAAACGTTATTTGTAATTAAAATATATGCATATAATTATGCATACGCGATGTTAATTTGTATGGAAAGGCAATATATGTATGTTTGCATATATATGTGTGTATATAATTTATATACTTATGTATGAATTTAAGTACGCAAGTACATACATTATATGAATGTACGCTAATAATTTGTACATACATGTGAGTATGCATATACTTATTTGTATGTATATATTAATCTTGGCGTAATACGTATTTGTGTTAAAACGTTGCTTATACATACAATATGTAAACATACTAAAAGTGCATGTAAGTATGTATCTGCGCTTACATGCACATACATATATGGTTGTACCTGCAATCTAGGTGCTCATGTATGTACGTAGATATCTGTATACTTTGTAAATACATATTTTCATTAAGTCTATTCTCAATAGACAAATTAATTAATAATGTGTATTTGTAAAAATATCAGCAGAATCCTTATATCCGAAGCTCTGCCACCCAGAAGTTTACTAGCAAAAACAAATTAATTTTAATGTGCAGTAACAAATTTTTGTTTATTCTTCTTCTCTATTTATGAAACAGGTATCATACTTAATCTACTCAATTAATAAAGTAAAATATCAAGAATTTCTAATATTAATCATTACAAACATTATATTTAAGGAGAGAGCGCACTCACCCAATATAATATTTTATTGGACTTTTTACAGGAATATTATCAAAACCTGACTTAAACATTTCAAAAGGTTTGGTCCAAATATATGAAAATAAATTAATTTTACTCTTATTAGACCAAATACATCAATAATAATGCGTATTTGTAAGAATATTACCAAATACCTTACATCAGAAGCTCTGCCACCCAGAAGTTTATTAACAAAAACAAAGAATGATTTTAAAGTAGTACAATAAACGAGAAATTGGTCATTATTCTGCTCTGTTTATGACGTAAGTGTTATACTTAACCTACTTACTTAATATCTATAAAAATCAAGAACTATTTTTTTAAATGAATAATAATAAACAAGATCTGTAAGGAGAGACAGAACTCACTACCCCATAAAAATCATCATTTTTTTCATATAAAGAATATCACAATTTACCCAAACCTTGCTCAATAGTTTTTTAAAGCTCTACATGAAAATTGACCGTTAATACTTAAAAAAAAAATGTTTAATTTTCACAATTTTTTAAAAAAGACATAAAAATCCCGTAGAATTTCACGATTCCCAGCAGATCACCGAAGTCAAGCATCACTGGCTGCGGTCAGCGTGCGGGTGAGTGACCACTTGAATTAGTCTGCGTAGGGACCGAGGGTGTGCGATATTGGTCCTCGTTAAACTGTTCTACTGTAATGTGCTCGACTTCACGTGCAGGTCGTAGGGCTGCCGAAGCGGAGGTGCCATCTCCTCTGCAGAGGATCAAAATTGTGATGGCATGTCTTCGGATCATCCTCAGGGATGTTTCCGAGACCGTCGCCAATAGCCCATTGTGCAGCACTAGTGCGACGTAAATTAACTACAACAGCAACCCATAGAATTTCATTAGTGAATTTGCCATCTAATTGATTGCGAACAAAGCACTCGACGTCACGCGCTCGTGCGCCATAGCCTGAAGAAGTTCTCTTTCTGTCTTGGCGACAATCGGAGGTGTGAATCTTATGCAGTCAGAATGGCCTTTTAATAACTTTTACACGGTGGCCTAGACTTGCAGACTTAATAGAAACTTACATACCTCAAATTAGGCTTCAGAATTTGGCAATATTGAATTCATGTAGTTTGTTGACGCCATAGATCCTAAAATTACTGTTTTTACATTTGATTCATTCGGATGTAGGTCGTTAATTGAATCTCTGTGGCCTTGCAAGGCCATGTAGAGACTCTTTAATAATTTTTATATTTTAAAAAAATCTAGGTATTTTAAAACAAATTTTTCATTATTTATTTTACGTCTTTGAAATATTCGCGATATTTGATCTGTGATATATGTTTGCCTTCACAACTTACTTTTTCGATAAGTAGGGTAAACAATTGTATAAATAACATCACGAACTGGACAGATTCTCTAATGAAGAACCAAAGGTTTTAGCATTGGGTATGGTTTTTTGATTTTTGACGCGATTATATGTATTAAAAATGAATTTAGAGTTTGACATACCTATTGTGACTAGCCAATAGTTAGGGTGCATATATTGCATTATCTCACTATTGTGATTAATATCTACATATTTTAATTATTTGATCAGTTTGTTCAAGTTTATAATTTATTTGATGACTTAGAAATGATTATTGAGTATTATATTTCTGAAATCGGAGAACACGTTGAAAATGGTACGTGTTGTCATTGGCCTTGGTACTCATTTTCATCTGGTTTTTTTTTTATAATCGATATTTATTCATGCTTATTAAAATTTAAAATGCATCGTACTTAAATGTGAATAGTTTTTCTGTGTTAACCTATCATTCTGTTTGGATTTTTGCTTTTTTTATGTAAATCAACGTAGCTACAGCAATTTTTCGCGCTTTATATTTTAATTGTTTTCTTCATTCTTGAAGTGATTTAATATTTAATTGGTTGTTTCAAATAACAGTTATGTATGTTTTTATTAACAATGTCTTAAAGATGATTAAATTGAGGTCATTTCATGAATTGAAGTAGTCTGAAACATATAAATGTAAATTTCTTTTATAGTTGTTTTATTTAGTTTGTCTAAAGTGTTATCTTTGTTAAGAGTTATGTATTATTTTCGATATAAATCTACAGTTTGTTGCTTAATGAAAAATTGGGACATATATAATGATGAAATTGAAATCATATTAGCTTATAATCTTTATACTAAGAAATAGCTCATGATTACCGTAACGCTTTAAGCATAATTTTATTAATGCAGTAAGGTTAAAATTATGTGTTTTTTTTTGGATTCCAGTGATTAATCTCTGAACACTAATCAGGGATCTGTCTAGGTTTTTCTGAGAGGTACCTATTTTGTGAAAATTAAGACATAATTTGTGAAAAATTGAAAATTATATTAAAAAATCAACTCAAAAATATGATCAAAATATGGATTTATCGTTTCTTAAGTATACAAAAATAAAATTTTAAGAAAAAGTATTTTGTGAAACTGCCGTTTTTCCTAAAGTTGAATTTGTGAAGGTACTGCTAAATGGTAGTAAATTCGGCCTGGACAGGTCCCTGCTTATCTTAAAGATATATGATGTAGGTAACATATTTATAAACCAACTGTGGTCATTGAATGTTTAATTAGCAGCACTTTGCCTTTTAACCCAAATTTAATTCCCTAATAATCTATGATTAGAAATTTTACAATTGGAGACTACCAAATGATTACCAAGTTTTCTTGATAATCTGGTAGGAGTTAGTGAGAAACTAACAGAAAAAAAAATCTGACAAAATTGAATAATCTTGACAGGTGTAATACATATTGATTTGTGCTATCTGTTATAAATTTTTTCAAATTTTTCCGAGCAAAATACTAGGGAATTTTTCTTTAGCGTGAATAGGTATCAGCATGGAAATATTTCTTACTACTGCTTAATTTAATTAAACTGAAAAAGACATTGAAGTATCAACAAATTTTAAACCGTTGACATCTTTTTAATGAAGTTTTTCTTGAAAAAGCGATTGGTTTGCACGAATGTAGGACTTTTAAGATATAAGGTGTAAGTAATTGTATTTTAATATTAACTACTTTAATTTATTTTAAGTTTTGAATGCAATAAACTAATCAATATATATTACTATTAATTGAGATTGTTTTCCTTTGTTAATTTTCATCTGCATTTGTTTGATGGATATTTTATTACAACTGATAAGGTTTATAATTTTTTCTTATCATTGTTTCTTTTTTTACAGTGTGCTTGGATAAATTGAATCAGCTCTCAAGATGTATTGATTGATATTAGGAAAAATGACTAAGCCTTTCCTTAGGCGTATTATTTTAGAAATGAAGTTCACATTTAAATTATTGTAAATTGCATTACAAAAGCATACAAAGTAAGTAAAAATTTAAAAATTTATTGGAATTTATAATTTTTTAGTAAGTGATGTTTAAAATTTTTTTATATATTTTTTTATATTATGGTTAATAATTTATAAACAAATTTTTTTGAATTTTTATCATCTGTAAGTAAAAAACTCAATAAAAATTACTTTACTGGATTAAAAAAGTAATTGTATAAATTTTTTTTTTAATGTTTTAGTAATTTGTTATTAATTCAGGTAATAACTTTGGAAATAATTTTTGAAATATTGTTCATCTAATATTGATAAATATTAGTAAATTAATATGCTGAATTTAATGAGGACATGATAAATTAATGAAAAGAAAAGTTAGTAATCCATCTTTAGTCATAAAAAAATAAAAAGTAATCATTACAAAATGTCTTCTAGTCACTATTCTGATTGCAAAAATAAAAGAGGGTTATTTTAGAAGAAACTTTGAATTGTTGAAGGAGAAAATCCAAATATCGTTTATTTTTTTGTGACAGAATTTTGAACATTCATGTTTTTTTTATAATAAATATTAATTAGTGTATAATAAAGATTTTTTTTTTTTCATTGAACCTTTTGGGGCAATTCCATAATTACAACTTTTTTAACTTTTTTTTTTCATTGATAAATATTTAAAAGAATTATTTGAGATGTTTTTCAATTGCGTAATATTATTAGTACNTTATGGTCAGATTTTAATGTAGTTTGTGACAGAATTTTGAACATTCATGGTTTTTTTATTTTTTTATAATAAATATTAATTAGTGTATAATAAAGAATTTTTTTTTTCATTGAACCTTTTGGGGCAATTCCATAATTACAACTTTTTTAACTTTTTTTTTTCATTGATATATATTTAAAAGAATTATTTGAGATGTTTTTCAATTGCGTAATATTATTAGTACTATGTAAGAAAAATAGAAGACGATTATAAATGTTTTATTTAGAATAAAAATATAAAATGTGACTGGCATTACATGAAAAAGAAATGGAATAAAACATTTTTATTTTGAAATTCTTTTATAAGCAATAATGAGATTAGTTTTTTAAAACTTAATTTAAAAAAAACTTCATGCTATCTTTAAAAACTTCATTAAAAAGCTCCTGTGCCTGATGTTATTATTTCTATGTAACTAATGTTACAAATATTTACTATATTAAAAGTTTAACAAACATTTTTTACTATTATTTCTGCAATTTAAAATTTACAACTACAATTTTCATTGTTATACCTACTAAAATAGTTAATAAAAAAACTAAGAAATTGTTAATGAAGGGATGGTACTGGTATTAATGTTTATTTATTTATTTTCTCATTTTTTATCATGCAAAAGCTTTGAGGTCATACCTATAGCTGTGGTGTTTATAATTATTTGCAGATTTTTTTTTTTAAATGTTTGCAACTGAACTAGTTTTTTTTCTAAGTTGACATTCGTTGGTTGTTTCACCTCCAAACTATAAAAGCATATTTTATTTTTAAGACATAAGTCTAAATTCTTACACAAAATTGTGTTTTGCATGATGTTTACAATTTTAATGTTATTGTAAAGATTAATTATTGAAATTATCCTTTATTATGAAATTATTTTCAGACAGTCATCAATATGATGCAAAGCAACAGAAGAAAAGGCAGGGCTGCCACAAATAGGTATTTAAAAAAAAATTATTTTTAATTTTTTAAAACAGGACTGCACTTATCTATAACTATTATTATTCTATAATATTACAAGTTATTATGGTCAGATTTCCATATCAGAATCAGGAGTTGTTCCTTAATTCCATTCAGCAATGTATGAGAAACTAAAATAAACAGGACAAAAAGGGTTTAACTCGAGCAAACCCCCAAGTGAACCTCATCATGTATTTTTTTAAAAATCCATTTGGTTTTAGGTAATTGTAGTTGATGTGACATGCCACGGTATGGAAATATCCATATTATTATCATTTGCTCTTGTTGTTATCGTTTTATTCTAAAATTCTGGAGTTAATTTTTCATTAATTTCCTTTTTAATTTCCTCCCATATTTAAAGGTTGATTAGTTGAACATTTATATGGTGATATTAGCTAATAAACATATTTTTATGCATGTTATGAATGATTACAACAAATGAAATTTAAGTCACATAATACATTGTGTATATAATAATACATTATGTATTGTATTCACTTATCAAAAACTGTACTAATTATGATGTATATGGATATATATGTTATAGAAATTAATATTTAGTATTTTTTTTTTTTTCTCCAGCAAACCTGGGAAATCCAAAGCATATAATGATAAAAGTGTTCCGGTAAGTATTTTTGCTATTTGTAATTTTATGTAGTCAAAGCTAATTTCTTTAATGAATATGTAAGAACCATAACTATTTGTAAATAAAAGAAAAGGTGACCTTAGCAAGAAAATAAATGTATCAGCGCAATAATGATTTTTTGTATACGAAAAAAATAATAATTTTGTTTTAAGGTGTTTGCTTCTTTTATTGAATATTTCTGTCAAAGTAAGATTTCAGGGAAGTACCTTAGCTGTTTATACAATCATAATAATGTCACAGTATAAGATAATTCAAATAGCTTTATTTCGAAATTATTTAACTTATTTATTTTATGAAAGTGGTTTTAGGTTTAATATGTTAATCATTTATTCTACCTGGATCTATTAAATATATATATATTTTAATTTAAAATGTATTAAATTATATTGTGCTAAATAAGTTAGAAAACTGCATATATGAGTGAATTTTTCAATTCCTATAGTTATAAATCATGTGGTCTTTATATTTTAGTATGAAGGCATTTTCAGCAATACAAAATTGATGCATTCAACAATCTCCTTAGTGGTATGTGTTGAAAATTACACCATTTTTGAAATATATAATCTAATTTAACCTTAATAATTATTCTAAATTCTATCTTAGGGCTCTGTTGTTCAAGTACAAGTACGAACTGGAGAGATGTTTGAAGGCATTTTCTTAACTTTTTCAAAAGAGGTAAATTAAAAGAAAAAACATTGTTATGTACTGTAATTTCCTTTCTATCATCCTCAGTCAAGTATGATCTGGAAGCGTCGGTCTTAGCCTAGAAGAGAAAATTTTCAGTGTAGAATCTGCGCAGCTGTATAGTCCGCAGATTGTAAGGTGGTTCATTTGGTGCAGCTATCTACTTTTATTTATGATGACAATAACTTAAATACATGAGTTCCTTCTTCCAATAGAAACTATGTCATGTGTAAGTAAGTCTACATCATAAATGAACCAGTGGGCATCTGTAAGAAAGAAGCGAGTAGACACGTGCATGTTTAAGAGGTATTCACACTGGATGCAAAAAATTGCACACACAAATTCAGAGATGCAGGGATCCGGATTTTTCGCTAACAGTGATCCGGAAGTTTCCGGAGATCGAAGGTCCAAACATTTAAAAAAAATCATTGATCACGGAAGTTTCCAGAAATCAAATTTTCAAAGGTGGAACTTAAAAACACAGTTTATTTTATTTGTTTGTAAGGAAAAGCCAACTGCTTTATAAGACATATTCTAAACTTAATTACTTCTCCAGGTCATCATAGGTATGTGTAAATGGTACAGGTATATGTAAAATTTTAAATAAACTAAGAAATATTAAGAAAAAGGAAGAAAAAAACCTTGTTTAAATTTGTTTCAATTTAAGCTGTTTCTTTTGTTGTTATTTTTTTTAACTCAAGAAATTTTCTGGAATTTTGACTTGGGCTCACAATCACCCCTGTAGATGTGAACAAGAACCTGATTGGTGAGCTTTTTGCTAGTAAATATATTTCATCTGCACGTTTTTTTTTTTTGTATACACAAATTTTTTGCATCCAGTGTGAATGATCTTTTACGATAGGAAATTCATGCTGTTTGGTACCAAGAAAATAGTTTTTGTAGATTATATGTTATGACAATTAAAAATTTGAAAAAAAAATTTGGTAATCCAAAGATTATATACAAGAAATTATGGTAGCAATAAAGTAAAAGTGTTTTCTTAAACTTTGCCATTTTACTTACCTAAAATATTCTTATACAAAATGGTTGTTGGTAGACATTGATAAAAAAAAAAGGTTAAAATTTAAAGAAAAAAATAATAATACGCTACATAATTATTTTCTGAAGTGTGTCCTTAACACTACAAAAGAAATTAAGAATAATTTGTTTACTGATTTATTAAGCATTATGACATTTGATGATAGCATTTTGTAAAAAATAGGTTTAAATATATTTATTTTAATATTAGAGCTCAGTAAAGTTAAAACACACTTGAGTATACATTTTTGATTATTTTATTCATTTTTAATCCCTTAAAATATGAATTATCTGTTTTGTAATAGTTTATTTATTATTATTATTATTTTTTTTTGCAGCTTGACTTGGTGCTAGAAACAGCACATAAAGTGAGTTCAAATAGTTTGACATCAAAAAATCTGAGCAGTGCAGTTAGTAACTTACTAGAATCCTTTCCGTTTGAAGAGGGGGTTAAAGGAAAAGTTATTTTTAAGTTCAAAGATGTTGTCCAGGTATTTGCTGGAAATATTGATACTGATTTTGCAGTCAAAGGTAAGCTTCATTTGAAAATAGTTACATGCTCATTTGTTTCAATTTTATTCAATTAAATGCTTGAATATGATTAAAATTCTTTAATGTTATACTATATTGCATCATCAACCAACAATGGTCAATCACTTATGTTTTCTGCACATTTACAGACTATCTGTGCAGTTGAAACGTCTGGACACTTTTTTACAATCGAAATACATTTCTTACTCTTTTTTTTTTAATGTTTTGTTTGTTAAAAAATATATTAATATGTACTTTTGTCTTTCTCAATATCTAAATATTTATTCTGCTTCAATAAGCACACTTAAATAGTTGTTGAAAAGATGAGTTAAAGAAAAACAAACTTTGGTGTAAAGAATTAACATTGAATGTTAATGAAGCTAAATTTTAATAGTGTTTAAAAAGAAAAACCTACGCATAAACTTTTTTTTCTTTTAATTATAAATGTTTTTATGAACAAAACCTGCTCAATTCTGTTCTTGTTTTATATTATTATTTTTTATTATTAGATGTGATTAATTTACTTTTGGAATCAGAGGCTTTTTTTAAATTTTTATCTGATTATCTGCCCCTCTAATTCTTCACATCGAATTGAAAAAAAAAACAAACAAACTTGCTTTTATTTTGTGAAAGAGAAAATTAAAATTATTGTCTGCTCGTTTTTTTTTTTTGTGTGTGACTAAGTAAATGTTATATGAAATTGACATTAATTGTCATGATTATCATAGATTAGTTATTTTTTAAATTTGAATAACACATATTATGTTTGTTCACCTGAAATCAAGATTATCCAGATTTGCTAAGTCCTAATAATTTCAGATACTGGACTTTTTCTTGAATTTTTATTCACGGATTTTAATGATTTTTAACTATAATAGATATTACATGTTTTCTGGAAGTAATATATGTTTTTTGTTTAATCTCTTTCATTGTGTGTTGAATTTTTTAAATTAAAGAGTTTAATAACCCATTTCTTTCCCCTTTTCTAAGTAAAATTTGTTTCTTCAATCGATTATGATAATGAGACCATTTGATGGATAAAGTTGGTATTTTAACAAGAGTCTTAAGAAGAATTGATGCTTACTAAAAAACAAACCTTTTTCAATTCTATGAGCATTAACATATTGAAAAGACCCTTGTGCATTAGTTGGAAACCTGGACAAATCATAATAATAAAAACTAACTTCTTATAAGGTATTTTAACATGATTCCATTTTTAAGGGTCAAAGCAATGTTATATAGTAGGGGATATTTTTTTGTTACACTATTAAAACTAAATATTTTCAATGATTTACTTTGTATTTAATTTTGTTATGTGTATATTTGTGAGCATTTTTATTTTAAGAAATAAAAAATAAACTTTTCACTTCAGCTAAATCTGGTATTTTATATAATCTTGCTATAAATCTGTTTTATAAATATTACTGTTATAACAAGGCATAACATGAAATAAATATAAGACTATCTAACTGTGTTACTTTTTAAAAAAATTGATTTATGCAGTTTTGGAAGAGGTGGAAAACATAGAACTTTGTTACTTATTTAGTTTACATTTATTTTTTTTAGATAATTTTACTGACACTGCCATCAGTAAATATAATGGACAAATTTTAGCAGAAAGAGAACTTGAACCTTGGGAAGGAGCGTCTAGTGACAATGAAACTCTAGCTTTGGGTGGTGATGATGATGGAGCTGTAAGTTGATTTTTTAATGGAATATAATTTTTAAATGTTTCGTTCGTTTTTTTGTAAACCTGCAATCATATTGTTTGGATGAGTAATTGTTTGGGTTTTTTAACTTTTAGAATGGATGGGATGCAAATGATATGTTTCGATTAAATGCGGAGAAGTATGGTGTCACATCTAGCTATGATAAATCGCTTCATGAATATACGTAAGTATTTATGTAAAAAATAATGTTTGTAAATTAATATTTGTCACAGAAGTGCCAACCAGTATGATTAGTTTGTAATTATTGCAATTTCATAGTCAAGATTAGTTTTACGGCTCAGTAATAAAAATTTTGGTTTCTGATAATTTCCGCAATATTCTGTTTAAAATAAATTTCTTTGCCCCATAACTACCAAGAGTTATGAAATTTTGTTGTTTGCTGCTAATGTAAACAAACTATATTACTTAAACAACTCTTGAAACTATAAAAACTATAAATAAGCAAGGCAAAAAAGCTAGTTCTATTTTAAGCAAATATTAGAACATTAAAGTGAAGTTTAATATTTCAGTGTTATATACATTTTAATTTAGTGCCTTTTTATCTATATTTTTTTAATAGTAAATTCATGCATAATTTTATTACTATTGTATACCTACATAGAATTAAGTAGTATATACGCCTTAAATGTTGCTAGTTTGAATTTCATAAACGTGTATTCAGACCTGCCAACTTTAGTGCCAAATCTCAGGGTCTAGGCTATCTAAGTATTTTCTCAAGCTTTTTTCTAATTGCTGTTATGAATCGGAGGAACACTGAATATTTTACATGAACTCAACTTTAACCTCACTAAACTTTACTTGAAATCTGGGATTTTGCAGTTTAAGCGTATTGAGTTTATCATTAATTCAACTATTAAATATTTTTCAACTTAAACAATTCTGAAAACAATACACAAACTAGACAATGAGAGCTAATTCTATTCAGTTATTCGTAGTATTACACATTTCGATAAATTTTTACAGTGTTTAGTGAGTGCCCTTTCAAAACTCAAGGTGCCTTGTTTTTAGGAAGTGATCTGCCCTTTTTTATTCCTAAGGGGAACTTTCCTATGGTGATATGTAAAGTGGTTTTAGCTAGCTTAATTGTGCATTAAACTTGCGTGCCATGCTTCTGACCAGCTTATTTTCTTTTGGTTAATGTTAAGTTAAAAATAATTGTCTTTCATTAAAAAAAGAAAAAGACGCTATTCTACTTAGCATAGTGACTAAGTATTTTTGCATTAATCATTTACCTTGAAATGTGTAACGTGTGTTTATAATTATATGGAAAAGGGGGTAAGAAGTGGAACTCTGTTATATGAGACTTTTGTGCAATCTGCCCTACCTTTCCTTCACATCAGACCGGATAGTCAAACAATAATTATATTGTTCCTATTCTAAAAATCAGAGTTAAGGCTGAGTTAAATCTTGTTTTATATGAAGCATGGTATTAAAAAATGACATTTTAATTTTTTAAATGAAATCACTATGATTGTCTCAGTTTCAAACCACGCTCACTGATAATTTTTTTAGTGTTCCACTCAATAAAAAAGATACTGATGAATATAAACTGAAAGAAGCTCAAGCAATGAAAATAGCTGGAGAAATTGAAAAGAACAACTCATATCAAGAAAGAATTCAACTTGAAAATGGAGATGAAGAAGATAGATTTAGTGCAGTTGTCAGACCAGAAAATACATCTTCTTCAAAGTAAGATTTGAATATTTAAGAAGAAAATATTTTTGAACTAACTTTTTTTCTATAAAGAAGTACTTATAATTATTGCTATTCTTTTTGTCTTTTCTCAATTTTAAAATTCATGTCTTCTCAGTTTCATTTTCTCTTTTTCAAGATTAAATTTTAACTCACCCGGTACTAAAAAAGCGTCTTCTGGTTATAAGTAAGGGTTTATCTATTAAGTAAAGAACCAAATATGAGATCTTTTTATGTATGTGATGTCAAATATCTTTTTCTGTAAGTTCATTAAATAGCTTATGGGCAAGGATTTTCTATATAGTGATAAAATTTTAAACATGATTTTTATGTAATATTTTAAGACAACTAAATTAATAGAGGACATCGATGTTTTCTATTTCAAATTTAATGGAGGCAGAATAAAATCTACAGCATTATTAAATATCAGAAAGAATTAAGTTTTATTATTGGAATATTAAAAATTATTTCAAAGTGATTTCTGGCAAGATTACCAGTCACCTTGAAAATTGGCTTAAATACAATAATGCCAAATGATTCTGTTTATAACAGGATGGTGTGATGTAGATAAAGATTAAAAATTACAAAATACAGGGTGCATAGCGTTTTTAAAAAGTGCTTAACGGTGCTTATTTTTGTTTTTTAGAAGCCCTTAAAGGTGCTTTTTTTTCATGTTTTTTAAAAATTGCTTAAAGGTGCTTATTTTCGTTTTTTAAGAGCCCTTAAAGGTGATATTTCCATTGGGTGTTTTTAAAAATTGCTTAATTTTCCCTTTTCCAAATTGAGATTTTTCGTTTACAATGTTGGTTATCGCTACAAATTATGCAGAAAGACACAGTTCACATTGTTCTATTCAACGTTTTCACAATTAATTTAACCCCAATCTATTTCAGCGCATCGTCAGTCCGTAGGGTATGAAAACGCCATTTCAAAACGTGACTCAAGAATTTTAACAATTGTCAAAAACAACGCCAAAAGGTCTTTTTTCTTTTGACATGACGGTTAAAACCAGATAAAACCGTCAATTGTTAAAAGCGTTCCAACCCTACCCAATTATGATATTTTTTTTTTAGTGCTTAAAAATATTATTTGAGTGCTTGAAAAGGGCTTAAGCACTCAAATAATATTATTAAGTCTTTGCTTATTTTTTTGTTGACTAATTTGGCTACGCAACCTGTAATAGGCTTAAAAAATTCAAATCACAAGTTTACAACCCAAGCACATATTTTTTATTGCTTTTCTAAAATTAAAATCACAATCATAATTTTTTTTCTTCATTTCATTCTATATTTTTTTCTCTAGGTATGTCTTGCCTCAAAAACGAAGAAACTTAACAGGACCTAAAAGGCAAAATTCGACAACTTCATTGTCTCCAGTCCATGCCACTGGTTCTAAGCCTTATCCAGCGCCGCACACATCCGCCAATACTCTTCCTGGCAAACAGTACTTGCACTCCCACAGTACTGAAAACAAACCTCCCTCTCCATCATTCCCTCCCAATACTGGCTCAAGTTCCATGTCTCTGCCGCCTGTGCCAAAAGATTCCTCTGACAAATCTCTCAATGGAGGTAATTTTATCTTATCAAATTTATTTGCATTTAAATAACATTTTCAATTCATTTTCAATTTGAACTAAATGTAGAAAAAATAGACATGCCATTTTTTTTAAAAATCCATTCACTAGAAAATTCTTCATCTTTCATCTAATTTCCATCATTAACTTTTCTAACATTTTTAAAATTTGATATGTTGAATTGGAACTCCATGGACTGATTGTACAAAAATGATTGACATATTTATTCTACCCAATATATTGTTTTTATATTTTTGACTTGATTAATATGATATAAAGTTTTTTAAAAAAAACTGAAATTTTCTTAATTTGGAGTTTTATATTGATGAATTCGGATCATATACTTATTTACTATTCTTAGAAGATTAAATCAAATCTTGTATGATAGAGATAAATTGTTTTAAAAGTTTGAATTGTTCTCTTTTTTTGTCAGGTATGCTAATTGTCAATTTAATATGCACCAAAATTTTAAGAATGCAATGGTAAACTGAGGGATCCTTTACAAATTGGTTTTTAATGTTCTCTAATTAAAATCACTCGAATTAAAAATTTTAAACTGAATTCGAATTTTCATTAGATCATTAAATCTTCCAAGTGTCTCTTAGTATGAAATTATTCCAGCTATGATTTTAACAGAGAGTGGCATTTTGAAACAATTCACAATCTATAGTTTGAAGTAAATTAACTCAATGTTTTAAAAAATCTATTTTTTAATAAATTTTTATTGTAGTTTTATTTGTAACTTTAAAACCTTTTTACTAAAGTTTTGTTACCGCACAAAGTTCAGTGCTTTTTCCAAAACTGCTGTTGCATATCTGATACTATTATCACCAAAAATTAAAGATTTAAATTTAAGGGAAGTTGAAATCACAAGATTGTCAATTTTATAGATGGACAATCTGGAAAGGAAATGACAAAATCTATGTCTGTAGAAAGTGTTCCTCCGTCAGGACCTCCTGTTTTGAATAAACAACAGCAGCAGCACCATGTGATGTGCCCACCTTCTTCCCAGACTTTGCCTCCAAGGATAGAAAGGAGACGGGAAAGTGAGAAAAAACTTTTGAAACAAAAAGGTATTTCTTCAATTTTCTTATTGAGTTCTGTTTTTTCTTTTTTTTTAAACTGATAAGCCTGGCTCTAGTTTTCTTTTTTTTCTTTCTAATTTAAATATTTCAAAAATAAATATACTGTTTAAAGCAGATGAGATCATCTCAGCTTGAACTTCTTGGAATATTAAATGCAATATAAATAATATTAAATACAATCCTAAAAACATGTAGCAATTGAAAAATGTATTATTTTTTACATATTCATTTTATTGTGTCCTCTTTTTAGGACTTTTCATACAAAATAATCATAAACATTAATCTATTTTTCTTTATACAAGTTATATAATTTTTATCACATATTATTTATTTTCCATTTGCTGTAATTAAATGTTTGCTGCTTTAACTATTTTTTACTATTTTCTCAAATAAATTCATTCTTCATTTTCATAGTTGTATTTTTTGTTTTATTGGAGAGACCTATTCTCTGTATTAGTTATTTAATGATAAAATAATTCCCTGCAAGCAAAGAATTTTTTTGTCAATATTGATACATATTGGAGCTTAAATATTTATTTACATGTCTGTTTTTTTCATGTTTATTTACACTGAAGAGTGTTTTTCAATTTATTCTGAATGAAGTTTAAATTTGATTTTTCAGGAAGAAATGATGAAATAGCAGAATTTAAGAAATTTAGTTCTAATTTTAAGGTAAATTTTTTTTCCTGTCTGGTTCAATGTCTTTTACAGTTATATTATCTTTGCATTGAAGTTAACAAATATATTTTGTCTTTTCCAGTTGACAGAAGAAAATAAAGATTGTAATGATATTCGAGAAGAATTTATTAGTAGTGAGAACAAAAGTGAACAAAATATGTTAGCTAACAAATTATCGGAACAAGTTAAAATAGACTCTGAAGATAAAACTACAGATATATCGAAATCTACTTTGAATCCGAATGCAAAGGAATTTGTATTTAATCCAAATGCAAAATCATTCACTCCGGTAATTGAATTTTATATATTTGAAAGTTTTCTGTCTTGTTTCAGTGTTTTGTGAAATTCTAGTATTCCTTAAAAGGCTTGGGACAATAGAGTAATAAGCCAAATTTTTCTAAAGGTTGCATTTCTGTATCAAACTACCTCGGTGGGGTTTCCAGCTAAGTATTTTACAAATCTTCAGCTTTTCCACCAGATCTCTGTTTCCCAATAATTGGTTTGCGATCTTTTTAAGTGTTCGAAAGGGATTTGCGAAAATACTTTTTTAATGGTAGAATTCAAGATAGCTAACTTAAAAAAACTAATAAAACATTACATTTACATGCATCTATTTGCTGTACTGGTACTAATTAAAATATGTATTAACTTTCTGAATTTTTTTTCTTCGTGTTTTACTGTATTTTATGTGTTTTGGCTACAAAAACTTTTATACTTCGCTTACATCTTTTGTAAATTAAATGAGAAAAATTTTTCATATTGAGGCACAATATGCTTGGTAAATTTAACGCCAAGGTAAAAAATTTAAACGTGGGATCCAATGTCTGGTGATAAATTAGCAGAGGTTGATTCTTTTGACAAATTTTCATGCAAAAGTTATTTTTCATATTTGGGGATTTCTCAAATTTTTATTAACAAAATAGTTTATTCAGTTATGCTGTAACAGTTTATAAAAACTATTACTTATAGAATATCAATATTTAATCATCTATGTGTTAAAAGTGCAGTTTAGAATAATAAAAATCATTTAATTTATCTTATTGAGTTATAAGTAGATTGTTAAATTTTTGTTACTGGTTGCATTATTATTTAAACATGAACTTATCTGCAAGATAAATGCAGAGATAATTTAAGACTAAAACTGCAACACATTGAGCTTTGTTCAGCTAAATAGCCACAAATATCCCATTTAGAATTTTTTTTTAATTCAACAACGGAGAGTGTTGAATTAATTTTATATCTTTTTCTTTATCATTTTAAGTATATAATTGTTAAAATGCTTTTGTTAATATTCATTGTTTTGAACTAGATTGTAGCATTGTAAAAATGACTAAATTTTATTGTTCTCTTACCTTTTTAACTACTAATTTCACAATGAATTTTAAAAAGAGGGTAGTGTAGAAAAAAAGAAAATTGAGAAAAGCGGCGCTAAATAATAGCTCAATACAGATCTTATTGGCCGCATTAAAATCATCTTTAAAAATGCTTGTCTGAGCAATTAAAAAATATGGCTTACTATTATATCGCTCCAAGCCTTTTATTTATAATGAGAGACAAATGCTAAATGATTAATAGTTATGCTATGCAAAAAGTAATTCTATACTGTATAAAAATTATTTTGTTAGTGCTTGGAGGTTGTATGTTAAAGAAATTTATTATGATGAAGAAATTCCTTACAATGATAAAATTTTCATTAATGGCTGATGTTGCAATCTATCTCTTAAAATAATTTGTCATGGCTCATTTTCTTCCCTTACGCTACTTTATAATTTGAAAAGAATTTCTACTTTTGGCATTTTTCAAAGCATAAAGCAAAGAATACTGTTCAATGTCATGCTTTACGTTTTGATTCTTCCCCAAGTTAATATAAGAAGTTCTTTATTAAGACGGAATTTGAATGTCGGAATTTTATTAGCTATGTGAAAAAGGCCTAAAAAATTATAAGTTGCCTTTAAAAATTTGCCATGTAATCGTTAAATTTCAAGTGAACAGTTTTAAAAAAGTAATAACTCAAGTTTGAAATTTGCATGTTGTATAACATCTTATTAAAAATATCGTACTTTGAATATCCATGGGGGAATGACCAATATAGGTCAGTACTCCACATGGATTTACAATTAAATAGGTGCAAATAGACTGTTCTTCAATTAAAAAAAATTAGGGCGTGTAGGTTCAGAGAATATGCAAGTCGGAGATTCTTCATCTGAGCAACTGAGGGGCAATCAGGTGACCCACCGCTATTTTTTATTGCCGACATAATTTTTTTTATGAAAGAATTCTGCACCTCATGGGATACACATACCTGCCACATCTCTTGTTTTTTAATGAAGACTCCTGTATTTTACGACTATTTCCTGTTTATCCATATATTCTCAAATTTCTCCGTATTTCTTGAAGAAATTTTTTTAAAAACATTTTTTGGCAATATAATATTCGCTGATAGCAAAAATACTTCTCTTATTCCTCAACAGATAGTGATATTGTCAGTACTGCAGTATGTTTAGTGTTAATAGTTTAAGTACCCCTTGCAGTCAGGCTTACCGCGGGATATTTTCGTTGTTTTCCTTTCCATGTTACGCAAATGCAGGTTAGTTCCATCAAAAAGTCCTCCACCATGGCAAATTTCTCCCAGTACTTGATTGTACCAGGAGTTTCCTTGTCTTCTGTATTGGGTTCAAAATTTTAAAGCTGCGGAGTGGAACATTAGTAGTCTTAAGCCCAAAATTGGATCTGCTATTTAATAATTTTTATAAGATAATTTAAGTAATTAAAAATACTGGTTTAAAAAATCTTTAATTAAAGTTTGTATTTTTACATATTTTTTGCTAAATTTAAATGCTTATATTATTTCCGATTTTGAATTTCTCTTTTTGACTTGCATGATGTATGAAAACTTTACTCGTAGACAAAAAAATGTCACTAGTAAAATCTCCGCTATTTTATTTCTCCAATATTGGCAGATATGGATACAAAATAACTTATTTTTCGCGTCCCTTCAAAGAAATTTTGGCATATTTGCAGCATTTTGGTATGTAAACAGAATGACTGATTGCCTCTTTTTTAATTGGTTTAAAGTTTTGAAATCTTTGAGCATGTTTTTCGTGAAGCTCTTTTATGCTATTTAAAATTGGTTTTTATTTATAAAGGGTTACCTCAGGATTTGGGAAACCTAGAGTTGTTGGTGGGGAGGGAGAAAAAAAAGCAAATTTTTGAGGGTTACATTTAGAAAATGCATATAGACAGTTTTTGTTTTATACAGGATAGGGTTCTCACTATATCAGGACAACCTGGATTTGTGAAGGAATTAGATTTGGGGGGGGGGAGGTCAATGGAAAGTCAATGAATACTGCAGTTTTTTAGTAAAATCTAGGAAGATGATACATTTTTAAATTCATAGTTACAATAAGAAACCAATAAGATTATTATTGGTTCTTCTATGAAACTACTAATTCCCCCCATCTCAATGCTAAAATCTATATAATAAACCTTCGCCTACTAATTTTTTTTATTAGAAAATGTAAAACATATTTTCTCTCAAAGTAGCTTTAATTGCTGACATAAAAAAAACATATTTTCAAAATGATATTATCATGTATAGATAATATGGTAATTTTTTTTTCTCATCTCTTTGCAAAGTATTGCTATTTTTAATGTTATTCTAAAATCTACGTAATAAACTTTTTCCTATTGGATTTTTTTTTTATTACAAAAGCAAATTTTAATATTTGACACATTTTCTATCTAAAAATTACTTTAGTTGCTTATAGAATTAAAAAAAAAAGTATTATATTTCTGAAATGATATTATGATGCATAGTAAAAATGTAATCTAAAATGTTCTTGAAATTTTTCTGGAATATTTTATTTCTATTATTGAGTGGGAGCCATGTTATATCAATAATAAAAATCCTGGCAGGTTAGCATATCTCAGGGCTAAAGAGAATAGAAGGGCTNAGCCATGTTATATCAATAATAAAAATCCTGGCAGGTTAGCATATCTACTAATTTACAGTAATTTCCTGTAGAAAGACCACACTGTCGTGTATGCTGCTAATGCTAAATTTTTCGATTGTCATTGCATAGGTCACAGGCCACTTGCATAGGTAGCACTTTTAAGAGGGTGTCATACCGTGGAATAAAATATTTGTCCCAAATTTTCTTTCTCCTTCATTACTAAATTAAAGGAAAGAAAAAGCAAGTTCAGGCAAACCTAGAGTGAAGCTTCAGTTGCTGAAAATAATACTTCAAAGTATTAAAATGCAAAAAAATTATTAGAAGAGAACTTCACCATTGTGTAATAAGTTAACTTCTCATAATTTATTTTCATTTCTATATTTTAAAATTTTCATTTCAGTATTTTAAACTTCATGGCTTTCTCTGCCTGAATTAGCCTCTTAATTTTAGTCATGATACTTTTTGGGCGCTGTTATGGAAATTATACGGTTACTTAAATTTATGTACTTGGTTGCTTATGCATTTTGCTAAAACTGGTTTCTTCCTCTGTTTAGCGCTCGATGTCTGTGACAAGTCCCCATACACCAGTACCTGTTCAGCCCCAACGAATGCAGGCTCAAAGTCCAGTAATTACGATTCCTCCATCTCAGGTTATACCGGGCATGCCACAGCCAATATTCACTGCAATGGCTCCACAATATGTTATGCAGGCTACTCCTGTTAGTATGGCCATTTCAACTCCATTCAGTGCAGCATCTTTGACTCAAGCACCAAGATTCAGGAAAGGTACACAAATTTCTCTTTTTTATGATCATTTTTATTATTTATGACTGGGGTTCACTCCAGTACGGCGTCAGTATTCGCCAAATGTTCTACGAATGTCGCTAAAATCATACGCATGGGCGGCAAATTTGTCGTCTTGAAATATGTTTGGAATTTACAAAATAATTTTTTTGCATTGAATTTCATGCCTTAAAAAAAATTACTGTACTTATTTTATTGTTCAGTTTATTTGGTATGGAATTCTAATGTGTTTGATTCAAATGAATTTAACTGAAAGTGTCGGGTACAAAAAAACTTTGAATGATATCGGGAAATTTCAAATTCACATGTTGTGCTCAAGGCCCGACTTAGACTTATTTGGGTCCGGGGCAAAAACTTAATTGGGGCCCCCCTCTGCTTCAGTACTGAAGAACCGAACTTTAGGAAGGTATTTAAGATTTTTCACCTCATTATAGATGACAAGAAAGACATTATAGATGAAGTTCTATGACAAGAAAATTGACTAGAATCTAAAATGGCTCTAAAGTCCCCCTTCTTCCAATGGTCAGATGAAGTATTGTTCTGTCCATTTTATTGATTTTGTGACAATTCTATGTTCATCATGCCGAATGCAGTTTTCTGCTTGTTAATTTTGTCATCTAGCTGCGAAAAATTCATATCGTTGCTGACATTAAGGTGCAATTTGTAAACATATTGCCTTTTGCAATGTGTAAAAATACAGGCTGTTCATCGGCCGAATTTGCCCATCGTAATTGCAAAAATGTAGCTGAATTCCGCCCTAAAAAGCCATGGATTTATGAAAGATAGATTTGTTGTGTTCATACGATAGATTAATGACAGGGATGTGATTCTTCCGCGGATGCGCTGATTTCCGCTTTTTTCAGATTTTTCCATATCTTCCGCTCTTTTTTCATAAATTTCCGCGCGGAAAAAATTTTTATGCAGTAAATGATATTTTGTTGAATTTTTTTTTCTTTTGTTGAAAATCAATTCCCATTCACGCAATTTAAAAATTCAATATNGTATGTGTATCGAGACAGTTATTTCTTTAGGTCTCTTATTATTTTCTAAATAAGCAAAATCAAGATTTCATTTCATTAACCCCTTCACGGCTGGCATATGGAGAAAGAAGTGCTTTCCACACACCAAGCATGTATGTACTGGAGAGAGCTTGCCTGCTATGATACGCAAGTACCGTAATCAAATCATGTTCATGTGATCCTCAGCTGCCAGAGCCCGGAATACTCTTCTCGTAATGATAAACCACATATATGTAATCTTGATCCTAAAGAAGTTAATAAACTTGTTTTAATACATTTATATGTTATATGAAATTTTAAGAAAAAATTTTTAAATTGAAATTCTTGTAGAGTTAATACCCTTTATGTCATCATTATCCTGGTTCTATAACTACTGCATGCTTTCCAGGTAAGGTATCAAGTTTCTTTTTGTTTCTATTTTTAGTGCCCATAACTATGCAACCAAGACACGACATTACACCATCGATGCACGTGGCGGCAGCAACTGGACAGCCAATTTTAGCACCTGCAGCAATGCCTACTCCTTCACAGCTAACAATGCAGTATGCTAATGCTCCAAGAGTGATCCATACTTCAGGGCCTCCTCAGCAGGCAATGGGATACCCTCAAGTAATAATCATTAACCAATACTGATCATGATGTTAATATATATAATCGTTAACCAAAACTGATCATAATGTGTGTTTGTATAATGTGTATGGCTTAAGCTGCTATGCATGAAGTCTATTCAAATAAGAAATACAAAACCACAATGACACTTCTCTTATTGTGAAGTACTAGCGTGCTATCTCCAGGGTTGACTTGATGCCCACCCAGCTTCAAACTGATGGGTACTAGCTTGCCTAGGAAGTTAGTACACTCTGTGCTATGTGAAAAGCTACCAACTCTACTGAATTTTACCAGTTTCTCCTGATCTACTGGTTTAATCGATATTCTCCTGATTTTTGTAAATTTTTTCAAAATTTTCTAAAATTGATGAAGTTTTCTGAAAAAATCCCTATTGAAATAGAATCTTTGCACAGATTACTTGCTTGAATATTTAAATAAATGATATTAATACATGATGAAATGAGCCTTATTTATTAAAATCAGTTTAAAGCTTTTTTGTTCCAAAATTATGAGTTTATTTTTATTCAGAATTCCCCTTTTTAATTAATTAAAAATCTTTTAACTATCTTAGATGAATTAAATGCGTATTACTATTCAAAATTATGAGTAAACATAATGCATTACATTTTAAGTTTATTTAATGTTAATCATGACAAGAAAATGATGCAGTTTTTTTTATTTTGGAAAAAAAAAAAAAAATTCTTAAAAATTTTTTTATGTGTAAAATACTTAGTAGAAGACAAGTAGTTTCATAATGTGTGAAATATTTAGTAAATTTTGAACAATTATTATGAAATTAATATTTTGAAAAATCTACTGGATATTTTTCCCATCCACGTTGGTGTCTTGGTCATGAAATTGGTTAGACCCTTAACCTGTGTGACCCCCTTACTGACGGCTGATTCTGGAAATGCTGTTTTTTTTTATTAAAATTAATGCTGAAACTAGTTCAGTCCTTTGCCAAGTATTTTATTTACTTGCTCTTAAGTCAGTAATTGTGAATTACCTTTATTTTTACTTATACATATTTAATTCATTAATTCCTGAATTTTTTTACACTTAATATTCTGCTTGATTATTGTAAAATATTTAAAAAATTAAACTTTAGAAAAAATATTTATTTTACAGGGATGAGATTTTTCCGCTTTTTTCACTTTTATCTCTTGAATTTCAGCTTTTTTATCAAAAATTCAGATTTTTCTAAAAATTTCACTTTTTTTTTATAAATATTCCGCTTTTTCAGAAAATTCACCGATTTTCAAAGAGATACAGAAAATTCAAACTACATAGCTACCAATCCTTTCTCATTTTTACTTATTTTACCTATTATCTCCCCTTTTACACGCAGCNTTTCTCCCCTTTTACTCGCAGCAGANTCTGGAAATGCTGTTTTTTTTTATTAAAATTAATGCTGAAACTAGTTCAGTCCTTTGCCAAGTATTTTATTTACTTGCTCTTAAGTCAGTAATTGTGAATTACCTTTATTTTTACTTATACATATTTAATTCATTAATTCCTGAATTTTTTTACACTTAATATTCTGCTTGATTATTGTAAAATATTTAAAAAATTAAACTTTAGAAAAAATATTTATTTTATAAAAATAAAATGTGCCCCAATTTTGTGATGCTAGGCACGAATAGGTACAGGTGTTTTCCCATTAAAAGATGAATCCAATTTTAAATACAAACAAGTTATAACATGTTAATTATTGTTGAATAGTAAGATTAAATCTTTTTCAGTAAAATAAGGATTTTAATTTCTTTAGGAAAAACAAAATTAAATTATTTTGCATGGAAATTTCGTACAGTGTAATTTTGATTTCTGCATCGTTTCCCATGACTTCTGTAGCTTAACCACATTTTTATTCACCTGGATAAAGTGGTTTATACCATCGTATCAGATGAAATCTTACATATTTTAGTAATACAGGGTTGCCAGCTACTAAAAAAAAATTTACAAAATATTTTATAGTCTTAGATAGTTAAAAACTTAATCTTTCAAAATTTTTTTAGTTTTGCCAGTATTTTAGAAGCCTCCGCACAAGATAGCTAGAAAAATAGATGCTATATATATTTTAATCATTTACAGTGTTGAAGGTAACTTTAAATCAAATTTACAAAGCAAAGAATTATTTATTAGAACATTAACTTAGCCATTAGAAAAAGTTTCCCGAAAAGCATAGAAAGTTGGCAGCTTTGGTGATTGATCTACCTCGAGCAGGCAAATTTATCTTTGATGATACATTTAGCATATTTCATGTTTGATGCTTAAGAAATCCTATAGTTTTGAAGAAGATGATCACAAACATATGCCCACCACCATTTCTTAGACCATATGGAACAACGATATGAATTTACAGAAAAAAAAAAATAAGCCTTCAAAATCCAACATATGAAACATTAATTTCAAGTTTCATACTATATTACATACAGATAATTCAGTTTTTAAATTTAAAAATATGAAATATTTTCGTAATTTTCTCTTTCTCCATTGATATGGTTTGCTTTGAAATATTTTTTTATGCGTAATATAGTTATTTTATTATGAAACTTTTTGGAAAATGTTGCTCAAATTTGTCCAAAAATATTTACTACTCTCAATAAAAGAAAGTAAAGTTCATGAGGCAAGTATGCACATATATATATAGTTAAGAAAATTAAACATTTATTTTAATATTTGCACATTTTGGTATACATGTTTGAATGAATTCCTTAAATTAAAGACACCATTCAGATAAAACATTGTTCTAATGCACTGAGAGCGTGGGGAGAATCATGTACCCTTTCGTGTCTACCTTTCCAAAATAGGGACAATATATAAATGCTCAAAAAATAACAAATATAAAAAAATATCCAAAAATACATATTCTAAATTCAGAAAAATGATCGATGAAAATTAAAATGATTGATGAAAAATAAATGCAATATCTTAACGTTTCATGTCTCCATATTTTATCAGAAGAATTAACACTTGGGTTTTCATCAAACATTTGTTTTACTATATTAAGTCTGTCAACGTGTTGCCATTTATGGATGTATGTTTATTAAGTGCAAACACTCAGAATATGTATTGTATATTTTTTGAAAAGTTCTGACTAATATTGTTCCCTTGCAAAATTTGTGAATAAAGCATCCCAAAGTTAGGTCACCTGGCTCAATTGGGTTAATTAAGTACTCTAATTCTTTTGCATTTTATTTTCATTTATCTCACATTTATATAGCCTGGGCAAGGGGAATTGAAGTCAATATGTGTGAACTATTTATTATATTACTTTATTTAGCATGAATTTTTAATAGTGTTTTTCCCCACTTATTTTAATCCTTTCTTGAAGCTAGGAGTTTTTCCTTTTACATATATAATTTTCCTAAGTATGCTTTTGATCAAAGAATATGTAGCTTAATAATATACATCCTTAAAAATATTCATAACTCCTTATTTTGACCAAAAATGTAAATTTTTAAAAAAAAACTAATTAAAAACAAGTTTATTAAGGAGAAAAATATTTCAAGTAGTAAAATCAAGCTAGTTATACATTTAATCACTTATAATTTATATAAAGTGACCTTTTTAAAAGTAAAATACATATAGTTTATGATGCATATAATGATCCATGTAATCCAAGCTGAATGGAGTTGTATAACGCTATTGTAAGCATGCAAAAAATATGTTTGGAGTGTACAAAAATAACCTAAATAACTACTCATTACCAATAAATGTTGGGATAGTTTTACTAGAAGCATGCTATACTTAAAGAAAAATTGAGACGCTGACAATCATGCATCCACAGGATGTAATCTATATTTCACTGACTTTTGCACCATAGAGAACGATCGCCTAGAATAAGAATCTGGAGCTTTGTCTATCTTCCTTTGGTTTTAATACAATTCTGATTTGATGTGCGGTAAAAAAATCAACATTTTGTACTCTGTGTTGAAATTCTAATGAACTTTAAAATAATATTACATCTGTGGAATACCAAACAAGACTTTCTAGTTAAAATGGAAGGGTTGCTGTTGTGAATGGTAGTACTAAAGAGCATCTTTTTTGTTTAAATGTTTCAGCTTTTTTTTCATTAAAAAAAAATTGTTTTGTGTATAATTATTTTTTGTTTATACGTTTAAAAATGTTGAAATTTTTTTCTAGATGAATTTTGTTGTTGGACCTTCAAGGGTTGTTCCTCAACAGCAAGTCGGTGTAGTGCCTACATCTCACTCAGTTTCCTACTGCGACACTTCCCAGCTTCAAACCCATCATCTACTGAGTGAGTTTTATATCTTATTTCTCTAAATATACAATACTAAAGCATGAATGATTATTTGAGAAAAATATAGAAATTAATATTTAAAAGAAAGTGCTTTTTTAGTGTTGATAAAATGTGTCAATATCAGGTAGCCTCAGAATAGGAAAATTGCTTCAAATTTCTGAGAAAAGTGCTCAGTTTCAGGTACCAACTCAATTTTAGTCAAATTTATATCAGTAAATAAATACAGAGTTGCCATTGGCAACTAAATAAATAGATACAGGGCCACCATTGGCAACTTAAACTATTTTGAAGAAAAGGCTACTGTTCATTATTCATATTTAATCCTTGTGTACAGGTTTTTTTCTTCTCTCCATTGGACCAATGCAACTACAATGGAATGTTTCATACCACTGTAGTGCTAAGAACTATTGCAGAAAAGAACACTCTTTGAACCTGTTAGGGTTTACTTTTGACAGTTGAATGTTAGTATATAATTAAATTTAACTTTTTAAGAGAGTACAGTTGAGTTTTCTTGGCCTTTTAATCTTAATATGGTAGCAAAATTTTAAGATTTTTTTTTAGAAAAAAATAAATTATGTATCTAGTGACAATTCATTAGTAAAAGATATTCAACATCATTTTAATTTTGCTGTATTTTGAATTTAGTAATTCATTGTTTTAATACATTACTACTCTAATTTTGTACTATATATTTACCATTACTACGTTTCATAAAAATGTTTCTGTGCTACAACACTAACACATCTTCATATATATAACATGATAACTATAGCATATCTAAATTAGTTTGATTTGATATTGTAATTTAATTTAATTTCTGCTGATTTGAAATCTAATAACAATAAATTATAATAGTAAGCATTCGTCTTGTAAAAATTTGTTAAAAGACCCTTTCAATTCCTTGTAACTAGTTGGCACCTATAATGAATGCATCCTTGATTACTTCATGTATCCAAATGATCTGTTCAGATGCCCATATTCTCCAATAGAGATTTTATAACCGTGGTTGAAGGTTTAATTAAAAAAAAAAATTCTTGTTGATGCTGGTAACAAAATAGGCAGCAACACTACTATATAAGCACTGATACTAGGCAATAATGTCTTGGTAATTTTATGGTTGAATGATATGCATTTGTGTGATTAATAAAGAAAATTTGTCTTATATGTTTGTTATCTGTAATTGAAGGGTAAAGCAGAGAAAAACTTGTCCAATTTTTTGTATTATCAAGCCTGTTCTTTGTTGTGGTTTGAAAATCTATTGCGCTAAAGTAAAATAGATTTTTGTGATTACGTTATCATACACAGGAAATTTCGAATCGTACATTTGTAGCCCTCATATTTGATGATTTTATTGTCCATGTTTTGTTCGCATTTTTAACAGTTTGGTATTTTCGCATAGTTTTTAAAGTTTAGATTTTATTTTTAATATAATATTATTGCAATCATAAAATTCCAAATCGCACTTTTGAATAATTACTTAATGACCCACTTTAGTCGTGGCAATTTCATTTTAAATTCATGTTTTTTTTTGTTTTTTTTTTCTTTCTTCAAAAATGTGAAATTTTTTGCACTTTTGAAGTTAAGAGTGTGATTCTTGACAATATTGATCCATATGTGCGAGACGTAAGAAAAAATGCTAGTTTTTTCTCGCTATAGTGAAATAGTGGATTTTGTTTCCATAATATCCAAGTTTTTTTAAAATTTATTATAGTAAAAAACTGATTAAATTAAACAATAATCAAAATTCTAATAAAATTCATAAACAAGCAGAAAAGCAGAGGATTCTCATATCTGCAATTTTTTTTTAAAGATCAAAAGTGTAAAAAGGGAAAAGAGTTTCGTTTATTTTGATTTTTAAGTTTCTGGAAAAGAGACCCTTCCTGTAAACGAATTCCGGATAAGGAACTTTTTATTAATCCATTAACATTTTCGCCAAAATATAATATATATTTTCCCTTCCAAGTTTTGTTTTCTGCCCAGTATCAATATGACTTTCATTTCCTGGATTTCTTAGCTTTGTCACATTAAAAAAAAATCTTAAATTGTGCTTGCTTTTATGGTTAAGGTTTTTCTCCTATACCCTTCAATTCTGATTGTTAATGTGCATGCAAGTAGTCTAAGTATTTGGGATTAAGGGTTTTTGGTTCGTTAATACGTTTCTTTTTATCTTCTATATGAAGATAAATATTTTATTGCAGTGTCTGCCCATCCAGGAGCAGGCATGCCCGGGTCAGCTGCCCACTCTCTACAGCAAGGTGGACAGCATTCCAATCACCACCCACCTCAGTCCCAAACTCCAGGCGTGCATCCATCACCGTCACCTGTACACCAGGTCCCCACGCCACACGGAAACCACTCTCAGCCACCAACACCCACTACCGTAATGTATCCTGCTGGTGCTATGGGTCAGCACCCACTGCAAAGTGTCTCACACCCCAGCCACAATCAGCCTATGAACCATCCATTGCATCAAGCTCACCATCCAGGATTTCCAAGTGGGCCCCAGCCAGTGGTGTTGATGCAACAGCAACAGCCACCGACCCACCATGGGCACCAGCCTGGTGCTGCCCACCATGCTTTGCATATGCATTCTCTACACAGCCAGAATCATGGTAACCATATGGGAGGGCCTGCTCACATTCTCCCACAAATGACAATAATCCCAACAAGTGCTGCTATGCCTGCTACAATATCTACTCCTCCATACGTTCAACATCCTCAAGGTACGTTTTGCTTAAACTGTTGATTGAGCAACTCGCAAATAACAAAATTGTTTCTTTTGCCTTTTCCAAATAAATAGTTTTTTGTTTTGTATAGGTTTTTCAACCATTCAAAAAGTTTGAGTTATTTTTTATTCTTCCTTTATTTGGTTATTGGTTCACTTATTAAAAAAAAGATGTTCGTTTAACCCTTAATGAACTGATGCCGTCATATAAGCTGCATGGCACTTTTACTTGGTCCGATGATGCGCATAATTCGGTCATGAAAAACCTTTTGTTAGTTTTGACGCTTATATTGTCTTATTTTAAATTAATTTGGTTATAATAAAATTAAATAATTTTATTTTATGATAATTTCATCTGATGGGAAGTAAATTTGAATTACTTTCGGACCATTAAAATTTAAAATTGCAGCAATTAACAAATATCTTGTTTCAAAAATACTGGATAATGAAAGTTTTTGTTAATATGAAACTAAAGTATTTAAGACTGAAAATATCAATTTGTATTTTTAGATTATATTTTAGGAAATAATTTGTAATTATGGTCTGGGAAAAGAGCCTCTTCAACTGGAGAAAATTTTGCTTGTTGATATTTTTTTTGCAATCCTTCCTTAATAGATTTAAATTAATTAAGCTTCTAAATACCTTTTTATGACATTTTATTAATCCTTTTTTTATTGTATTAAGTTTCTACCAAGGTAGTTGGTCAAAATGAATATCTGTTCAATAAATAATTATATCATAATAGTGTGCAAGTTAAGAGAGTAAATAAAGATAGGATAGGGCAAACAAAATGTATAATTTCTTGCAAAAATAGCGATAGCATCTGTAATCAAAGCTAAACTATTTGTAGAAAAAAAATTTTAAATTCAATAAACTACCTAAGTTTATTGATTTTAAAATTGCTGGAAGCAGGCATAAGCTCACCAATTTAAAAGCCTAGTGCAGTGCCATACTGATTGTGGCCAAGTTCGAGCCAAACATGAGTGTGGATTTTTTTTTGTTGGTGTTTTTCTACTAATCAGGGCTAGGATAATGATAACCTAAATATTTTATGCCCAAAATTGTCGATTGTAAAAAGTTCTGTTCAATATCAACGCCTGTTATTAGGGGATATTTAAAATAAAAAGATCTAATACAAAATTTAAAATAATTTATGCTGAAAAAATTTGATTCACAAGCAAATATGTTTTTAAAGGTAAAAGTATAATTTAAACTTCATGAAAAAAATTGTAAAAAAATCTGAAATTTAAAAAAAAAAATGACCAACCAAAAAAAAAGCATGAATAATGCTGTGTAAATGGGGGGGGGATAGCAAATATGCAAAAAAGAGAAGATACCATCAATATCTTAGCCCTAATAATAAGTAATTGAGCCGTCTCATTACGATCACCGCTGGCTTGAACCAGCCTGTTTGTTTTAACACTTTGAGTGAACAAGTATTCCCTTTCAGTTCATGATTGGTGTTGGTATCTGTTTTTCAAGATGAAAATAACAAAATTCATTAGGCTAGAAGAATATGTGAATGATTTCGTGAACATTCACACTACTAATTACATCTTGGTTGGCCTGCAATGTCACCTAATTTGAACCCCATAGTAAATCTGTGGGATGTGTCATAACAGCAGGTAAAGCGTCTTCATAAGCACCCCGGTAGGTTTGTGTGATCAGCAACAAGTGACTTACTGCATGTGATGTAACTGCAAAACCATGTGGGCTCACTTCTTTACTAAAACCTGGCAGTTATCGACTCCTAGGATGTAGTTGTATCATTTCCCTAGAGGTTACTGGTAATCATTTTGATTTTATCCCATGAGCTTATAATTAAAACATCAAAGAAGATTTGATGACTATTAAAGAGTAGTCTAGTCCTTAGGAGTTACCTTTTTTAAACGGAAGTAAAAAAGGTCAGTAAAAAGTAAAAGATTTTAGTAACATCTCTCAAAAAAAAATTTAGAAATGCTCTTTATGCTAACACAAGCTGCTACTGTTAATTTATAATTAAAATGAATATAACAGCATATATCAAAACAAGTACAGTAAAGTCTCTATAATTCGAGGTGGATATCTTGAATTATCGAAAACTTAAAATTTAAGAAATATTTAAATGAATGGAAGCAAAGCAGTTTTTAAATTTCAGTAGTTAATTGAAATATGTTTTATATTTAAAGAAAATTTATTTACATTAGATGATCAGGGCACATTTACTGCATTACACCAAGTTACAATATTCATTATCTTACTGCATCAGGTTAATTGTACTTTAAAATAATTGTCTAATATTTTTTGTTTAAACGCACTGTTCACATGTTTCAGTGTTTATTATACAAACTTGTTTTTCAATATTCAGCCGTAGTAATCGTCGTAAAACCAATCGTAATAATTGTTCCACGTGTTGTGTGTGCATTGGTCATTGTTTAAGAGCAAGACTGATTTTTTTTCACTAGCTCGGATTTAACCCTTTGACTACTAACAGGACTCATTTGTCCCAACAAATGTTTAAAAATTACTAATAGACATATATATCCCACCATTAAGTATGACCGGGACATATATGTCCCAGCCTCTAAATTGATAACCGCTTGTCAGAAAAATCCCAAATGCTAAATATGCCTTATTTGTGACCTACTTGGTCCTTTTGAATAATAAACGGGACAAAAAAAATCATTTTTTAGAATTTGTAGTCAAAGGGTTAAAGGAAACTCGAATAATCGAGACTCGAACTATCCTGACTCTACTGTAAATGCATGAGCAACATTCAGATACAGTAATTAAATGATGCGATGTTGCTTTCATCCCAACTAGCAGAACTGTTGCCTAATACTGACCAACGGAACTGTTTATATTTTAATCTTGCTCTCTTTTACTGGTTCTTTAAAATTATTTTTAAATCAGCTGTGATATTGCAAATAAAAAAACTTGTTTCATTGTTCAATATTTTCGTGTTTCAGAGCTGTAATATATTTCTTTCTTTTGCAGGAGTATGAACACAAATATTTTTAAAAGAAATGTTGAAGAATAATGACAACATTAGTTCATTTTATTTATTTCGATGAGGAAGCTCAGACAAAAGTTAAAGATAATTCTTTAGCTAATAGACAAATAAAAAATTCCTTTATTGTATTGTTGTTTGATTTATATCTTTATAACAATAAAAGAAACCCATGCTTTAAACCATATTGAGAATTACATTAACATTGCATTTACATGCTAGAGAAATATTTGACAAACTTTATTCGGCCCCTTGTGACTGACTTGATTGCGAAATGACGAATATTTGCCATGTGAATAAATGTGTGTTAATGCTCAAGTATTTCTAAAAACTGCAGGTTTTTATATGAATTATGTTTAAATAAATTCTCGAATTTAACACAGAATAATAATTATCATAGGATGATTTAATTCAAAAATTTGACCCAGTTTTACTGTACATCAAAAGCTTAAAATTACAAAACACTCGAAATCCGTGATTTATTAGATTATTTGTTGAATTTATATTTTTGATATGGCAAACCCACAAAGTGAGGGTGGCGCGTCAAAAGCATATTTTAAATAGGCAATTCTGTAGTAATAATATATAGGCTGATCCGTAACTTTTGAAACTTAGAAAGCAGAATTTTTCATTGGTCTTAACATTAGTAATCAACGTCATGAAAGGTAATAGATTTATTTTCCTGTTTACTACTATAGGTGGTGTTTTCTACACTGCAAACTCTTTACTGCCAGGGTGTTCTGGAGCCATTTGGCTCACAACGTGATTATTGTGTTTTGAGACTCTTTAGTATTATTTTTTGTGTTTGTTACCTAAGTTATTATTTGTGTTTTAAAATTTAAGCTTAATGATTGATTGTAAAATGAACTTAATCTTGCTGCTCAAACAATATGCTAACACTGATGTATGATGATGCACAGCTTGCAACAAGAACAAACACTAGTAAACAAATAAAAAGAGCTCAAATCAGGACTGCAAGAAAAAAGCCAGTTTTTTTCTAAATCTAGTAACCTTGTCACCTTTTTTAACTATTTATGCTTGCTTGCTTCGTATGCCTGTTAAGCCAGAGGGGTGCGATTATTCTTGTTTTCCAGTGGCGTCATCTATGACCAAGAATTCGACTTCTGTCGCACCCGTTAATAGGGTGGACCTATTCATTCATCCGTAGAACGTAATTTTGACCTGATCAATCTCCAATTTAGTACCCCCAGAGGTATTGATTTGTTATGGGAACATGGAGGACTTTTGCGACTCGACAGATTTAACGTGCATCAGTCACCATTTACTATACGGGAAGTATTCGGCTGGCGGGGTTTGGACATGAGCCCAGCGCCCTACCGACCTGGCTATCCCGGCCTTTAACTATCTATTAATAAGGAAACCAAATTTTTTTCACTTCAAACTCACCTGGAATTTACCATTTGAATTCTGAAATTATATAATTTATTTCTTTTGTTAAAAGCAAAATTATCAGTTTGAAAATATCGCCTCGCAGAATAAGCTGTAGTAATCAAGCTGTATACTTTCCAACCGAAAGTAGAGCAAGAGCTCAAGATTGTAAATTGTTTGCATTCATATTAAAAACACCATCCACTGTTCTAAGAGTTTTTTTAAAGGAAATATTAAGCTTGTAAATATATATATATTTACTTGTTAGTTTAGAGGTACAATATTTAAATGAAAGGATTGGCCACTGTCCAACTGTAGCATTTTCAACAGCTGCCACTTTTTCATAAGTTAAAAATTTTAAGTCGCATGAAAGTTAGGAAATTTTTAATAAGATTTATGGATGCAAAATATTAGACAGGTTGAAAAAAAGTAAGCAAAAGCTTTTTACGAGACAAAATGACCAACAGTATTTCACATATCGTATTTGGTGAAATGAAAAGCAATAGAAATTGATGAATTGAGAGTTCGTTCATATTGTGTAAGCTTGTCATACAAATGAGTGAATAAAATCTGAGCCCGTTTGTTCAGTTTTGCAAAGCGTAATGGAAAAAACGATCGCGAAACTTAACGCTTTGTCAATTTCCTGGATCTACATCAATGATGAGTGCATCAGGTAACTTTTACAATGCTGGTAGTAAATAAAATCGAAACGCTCTAGTTGATAAATTTAAACGCGAAGAAATGATAATTATAATTCTGCTATAATTCCTCCATCAGTATTTATAATTTCAGTATTAAAATTTTCAAAAATGTACCCTTCAATCTCAGAAAAATGATACACGAAAAAAGTTCTCAAAAAGTTAAGTAGCGCAAAATAATTACTATGATTTCCTATAAGATTTTGTTTAAAAAAAAAAAAAAAAAAAAAAAAACTCTATATAAATTGCGCTTAATGACCCCCCCCTCATTAAAAAAATCTGACGGAAACAAATTATCCCCTTCTTAAATATGTTTTCTTTTCTTCTAATTAAAGCAGCTTTTATTAAAATTTTATGGAATTTTTTAATTGTGTTAAAAATATTTCTTCGTCATTTTAATTGTTTAAAGTATAATTTTAGGTTATATTTTTGCATTGGAATAAAAATTACCCTTATTTATATAAAGGATATTTTCTATAGTTTATTTCAAATAAGAGAGAAGAAATGAGTAACGGACTTAGTGTTTCAGCTCTTCTCTGAATAATGTGGTTATCATATAAGATGAGAATAAAATACTCAATTTAAAAGAAGATAAATTGCGTTTTCAACCCAATCGTGTTATTTCCTTGCTTATTTTTAAAGAATCGATATAAGAAAGTATCATATAAAAGTAGAGAGACTATTCGAAATAACGAAGTAAAATGTATTTTTCCACGAACTTTATTTTTTAGTGTCTGAAAAATAGTGACTTTTTTATTTAAACTAAAATTAAAGACATATTTTCAGTTATTCTCAACGAAACAATATTCATAGCTTTTTTTTTTAAATTATAAGGGATTTTTTTTTCCGTCATATATATAAAATTAGAGGTTGCACTTCATTTTTGAATGAAATCATTGTTTAAAACCATAAAAAAATTCTAATTTTAAAAATTTGTAGGTCTTAGTAATTTTAAAAATATAAAATAAGAACAAAACCTATACACACAATAAACTGTAAAATCATGAACTAATGTATTATATAAATGAATTAGATAAACGAACATAAAAATAATTTTTTATCTGACCATTCATATAAAAACTAACAGTACATAAATATACAATTTTTAATGTATCAAATTATATAATGCAAACATTTACGTACCTTATTAGAAAGCAATTTATTTTTAGTTTTCTTGTTGTCCAAAGAAAAACTTGCTTAAGAATGCGAATTATTGATGACTCGATTTATATTTAAAAGAAAGCAGTTGCAAATAATTTTTATTAAATTTAAATTTTAAAAATTGAACAAAATAAATAAAAGTTGACTAAAAATTTACATTTGAATTTAAAATAGTTAATTTAGATGATACAATTAAATGAGCTTAAAAAATTAAAATTTAACAGAGTGATAAGAACGTTTGTCTCAGAAAAAGCCTCTTGACAAAAGAGCCAAATTAAATGTCTACAGGAGTCATCCCCTTAGGTCCCTTAAAAGTTTACTTCTGTTTTCCTAGAACATCTAGATAATTGAGCTACGCGAAGGTACCCCTCGAAAGTGAGAAAAATCTAACTCAAACTGCATTCGTTTGACCACAAATGACCACCTTTTAATTTTTTTTTTGTCCATCCTTATTTCGGACATAATACTAAAAATTAAATTTGGGGGCTAACCTCGGACTTCTCCCAAGTCTTATTTTTAGGATTACGGCGTAAATAAGGGTGGTAAAAAAACAAGCTAAAAGGTGGTCATTTGTGGTCAAACGAATACAATTTAAAAATTGGATTTTTATTTATTTGGCATAAAAATGCGAAGTTAGCCCCCGAATTTAATTTTTTGGATTATGTCCAAAACAAGGATGGTAAAAAATTAAAGGGTGGGTCATTTGTGGTCAAACGAATGCAGTTTGAATTTTTGATTTTCCTCATTTTCGGGGGCTATCTTCGCATAGCTAGATAATTGCTTGTTTAAGACAATTTATGAATAGATATCCAACAAATAGATGGTTCTGAGAATATGACATTTTATAAAAGGACAAAAGAGCCCAGAGCCATAAATATGGTAAAGGCAATTTAAAGAAGCAAAAGAACGTTTTACAATAATATAAAATGAGATGGCTATTTTTTGAGAAGTCAAGTTACTATAGGGTATGAAGAAAGGTGTTTAAAGTGAAGGGTTGCTTTAAATTATATCTATTTGTCAGTGAAAGATGCATTTTATAGGCGATCGCAACGCTCGAATAAGCCATCGGGGGAGAAGACCGGTTCAAAGTTCTGACCCTTCCCTCTCCTCTTTTCAGTTGCATAGAAATGTACTGCGATATTTTCCCCTTTCTTAATATTTTTATATTGTCACAAATATATTGTTACTACACTATTGTTACTATAATACACTTTCTTATATTGTCACAAATATTTTTAAAATTTCCATGACGCTTTCTTTTAGAACTATGTTTAATGTAGTTTTTAGTTCCATACAGTTTCCAAACTTAAAAGATTTTAATCTATTTGAAAATCAAGACAAAAGCTAACGTATTTTTCTATGATTCCTTTTTCTATGACTCTCCACACGCCAAAGGTGAAAGCATGCCAAGTGTTGCCATAGGTATACCTTACCTATGGCATGAATGGGCTACAAATGGAGTAAAGAAGAACTCTTTATAAAGAGTTCTTTACTCCATTTGTAGCCCATTTCGTTCGCCAATTGCTCTATCCAGGGAAGGGTAAAAGAGTGGTAATTATTTTAGTTTTCTAAATACTTGTTTTATTTTTTTATGCTGATCCTCTTTTTTGTGTGTTTTGGTTTTTTAAAAATATATTTTTAAATTTTAATATATTAAAAGTTGTCATATGAAGAAAAAAAAAATTAAGCCTAACAGAAGTATTTGTCTCTGGGTAAAAAAAAAGTTTTCTATTTGGATAGTAGCTCGAAGTTTTCAAAAACAGTAGCTTTTTCTAAAGTTACCAATTCTATTTTACTTAATTGTAGCGAATGTCAAAGTTTCAGAAAAGGGGACGCATATTATACCTCCCTCAATCAAATTTCAGAGGAAAATAAAGTTTTCTATTTGGAAAATAAGTTTAAGGTTGAAGAAAGAGTTAAATAGTAATTTTACTTATAACTTTATTTTGCGAATGTCTGAATTTCAGAAAGGGATAAATAAAATTTTTGCTCCCTCATTTTAATTTGAGAGGAAAATAACGTTTTCTATTCGGAAAATAGCTTTCAAGTTGAAAGAAATCGTTTTTTTTTTTTTCCTTTTAAAATTGCCAATTTTACTTGACTTTGTCTTGGCAAATGTCAAAATATCAGAAGGGGCGAAACACATTATTAACACACTTAAATTTTAGAAGAATATAAAGCTTTGCATTTGAAAATAGCTTTAAAATTGAAAAATATTTTTTTTAAAATTACCAATTTCACTTGACCTCATTTTTGTGTCTAAATTTCAAGAGAGGCGAAACACATTGTTTGCCCCCTCACTTAAAATTTTAGAGGGGATGGTTGTCCCCTTTACCCTCCGGTTGTCATGCTACTGGGTCTGACTAGATAGTGGATGAAACAACTACGTCAGTCAGAAGTACAATATACAGAATGTGTTAACAATCAACTTCATGCAGTTATAGCCTTTTCCCCTCTCTGCGAAGCGTTTTTGTTATTTTGAGGGAGGAAAATAATTCTTGAAAAAAGTCTTTTCACTGTTTTTTACTCTTCCCTTTATGCTAAAGTAGATATGCAATTACAAAAAAAAAATTCTGCAATTTCATCTTCACACAATGTCTTTCCTACTTATAAAAAAAAAGAGAAATTTAATTCTGAAAGAATGAGATGTGGTCCCTTCAAATAGGGCCCCAACTACCTTGGCGTAGTTACATCCCTAAGTGTGTCCTTTTGCTTAAGTTATGCTTACGAGGCGATGTGTAAGTAAGCTTTAATATTACAGAAAATTTCATTACTGTGATTTTTGATGAAATTTCCACAAACTTTTACCAGTCATAAGAGTTTTCTGTAGTTTATAAATTTTAATGGGTCATCTGCTTAAAACAAATTAGGAAAATTAATATCATAATATAAATAAAGTATAAGGTTTGCTATGTTTTGAGTGTTATCTCTCAACCTTCATTTGGCTATAATCGTGTAAAATATCGCCGGGTATTTTGCTTTTTGTGTAGCATACTTGTGACCAAATTCATTTGTTGAAAGATGAATTGAAGGTACGAGTAATATTGTAAACATTACAAGTTTAATAATAATAAATGGCCCTCTTTTCTAAGCTTAGACGTAAAAATCAATCGGAAGCAGTAACCCTGAACTTGTGCGAAAATGTTTAACCCCTAGCGCCATCTGGGCCCAGCTTTACATGGTCAATTATCCATAAAAGCAATCGTAATCGAAAATGAGTTGATTTTTATTTTATTTTGAGAAACTCTACTGTTTCAACGTAATCCACTGAAAAAGTTGAAACGTTACTTGTGTTCAGGTTTAGTAATATGTACAATTCAATTTATTCGCACAATAACGAATTAAAATTGAGAAAGCGAGTACAACTGAACCGTTGTCAACATCTGCACTATGTCAACCTTCATATCAATAAATAAACAAACAAATATAAGCCGTCATGTGCACTGTTTATGTATGTATTATACAATAAATTAACTATAATTTATCAAAATTCTATGTAAACTTGTTTACCTCCTATTTGAAATTGACATAAAACTTTCATGACAAGAAACAATTTCCTTAAAAAATATTACGAGGATGAAAACTTGATACGAAATATTTGATAAGAAGAGATAATCAATGAAATTTAATTGTTAAATAATATCAAATGGCAAAAGTTTTAATCAGATTTTAATAGACAATCATGGACGAAAAAGCTACTGAAATTCCCATTATACTGAATCGTTGTAAATCTGTTGAAGACAATATTTTAAAATACGACTATGGTCCTATCCATTGCGCTCGTTATGAAGCTCATCAAAAGCATTGTAGCCTAGAAAAGATTTTTCATCGTAAACTTCCTAATCAAAACATTGTATCGCGTCTTATCAAACGAGAAACCACATTTGTAAGACCAAATGTTAGTCCTCATTACGCTGTTCGATATTTACATCAGAACCTAGTTCCTAACTTTACCGTTGTTGACATCGAAAAGCCGCCTTGCTTCCTCAGAAAATTTTCTCCCGATGGGCAGCATTTTGTTGCTTTTTCGTCTGATCAAACATCCATAGAAATCTATAAATACAAAGGATGCTCAGCTGGTGAAAGTCTACTTACAAACTTTTCTGGAGAACTAACGAACATTAACGATCCGCTATATCGAACTGTGCGTACTAAAATTTTTGAGCAGTTTTTTCAATTAAAACACATTGTGAACGTAGCTTTGAATGATGAGCAATTAAATCGGGAATGTAGTTTATTTACGGATGATGGGAACTACATAATTGTAGGCTCTGCTGCTTATATAAATGATGATTCAACTCCACCGTTCTTTGAAATTTATCAAAACAATGAGTCAGTTACACCCAATCCAAGATCATATGTCGAAAACTACACTTTGCATTTAATTGACATGAAAAATGGAATTCTGAGAGACAAACGTGCTTTCAAAACGGATAAAATATATTTATCACATAACCAAGGTGTTTATTTGTATCAAGATTTTCTGTGTGTGTTATCAGTTCAACACCAAACTATTCATGTTTTTCAAGTAACAAAGGAAGGTTATTTTATCAATGTTAGAACTATTGGTAGGTTCTGCTATGATGATGATGAGTTTTACATGTCGAACATGAGGTACACTCAAACTCCCCCTACTTTGTGTCGACCGTATCGAGAGACGACTATCAATGCCTTGAAACATAGAGTGTTAGTCTTTTTATATAGAAGAGCTGTTCATCTCTCTCAAACTACTAAGACTTCTAAACCGTTGCTACATTTTTATCACAATTTTCAACATTTTTTACTTTTGAGAATGTGGAAAATGCAACTTTTAGATAAAAATCACTTATTAATTAAATATGCAAGTGAAGATGTTACTACACTACGGTTAATGGATCCAAATTCTCAACCATCATTTTTTGTTGTTTACAACATGATAACAACTGAGGTCTTAGCTGTTTATGAAAATACATCAGATCAACTTTTGTCTATATTTGAAAATTTTTGTGACTTTTTCCGAAATGCAGCTTTGCATGCTCCTACATTATTGTCTTGTTCTCCATCTAATACTATTTATGCTAGAATATTGCAGCATAGATTTTTACAGACCATTATCAATGCCAAATATGGAGGGCAAACTGAAGCCGTTAAAAGACTTCTTGCTCAACTACCTATTAGTTCTCAGTCATACAGTGTAAGTCCATATTTGGACTTATCTTTGTTTAGTTATGATGATAAATGGGTCTCTGTTATGGAAAGACCAAAGGCAAGTGGCGATCAGCCGATACGTTTTTATGCGAGAGACTCGGGACTGCTCCGTTATAAAATATACGCTGGCGTCCATGGAAAAAACCATCCTGTTTCTGCACGCAGACTAGTAGCTTTTACTTTTCATCCCTATGACCCTTTCGCTATAAGTGTTCAGCGAACAAATTCTGATTATGTTGTAAATTTTCACGTTAGACATGTTAATACTTGATATAAGGTGCAAGTCTTCCTTAAATTATGAAAATTTAGCCATTTTCTTGAAATATCGAGATAGGTTCTTGGATTGTTCAAAAGATTTCAATGATGCTGGCATCTTTTTGAGAGAAAAATTATAGTGTTTCTGTTTTCAGATTAATTACCTTTATTTTGCATTGTTACGACCATTTTATTATCTATGTTAAGGTGAATGACACAAATCAAGAGAATGTCGACAATCGCATAGTCGCTTTGGTGAATGTCCGAAATATTTGTTATATCCAATGTTATAATTTATTCGTTAATATTATTATATTTATTCAATATTTTAATAGTGAGGATAGATTAGGAGAAACATCAGTGTTAGGAGTACCGATTAAATGCATACTGGGTAGTGGCACTTCACTAGATCTAGTATATATTTCGGACATTTACCAAAGCGACTATGTGATTGTCAACATTCACCGGTGTAGGTCAACAACCACCAATTTCGGTCATTCACAGTAACATATATAAAGTATTTGTTGAAGTCTTCCTGTAATGTCATACTCCTACAAGAATGTCACAACCATAGACGGCAATATTTATACATTCTTTATAAGTATCCATTGTAAAACTTATGAATTTTAACTTGCATTTAGTTACTTTTAAAATTCAGTACGTTTGCTTCGGATTTTTGTTACATATTTTTAGAAAAAAAAGTACTAGTATTAGTAATGAAATTGTTGGAAAAAAAGTCACCTTTTTAGTTATTTTTTTAAAAATTTCCTCAAAACAAGTTTTTTAGAATAATTTTTTTGGAGTTTATAAATTTAATGTTTTTAAGAATAAAAAAATTACAGAAATAGCTAATTTAATAAAAAAACGGTCTAGATGTATCAATTTCCTTTTTTAAAAGAAAATGCATTGACAGAAATTTTCCAATGTTCTTGAGCTAATGCATTTTAAACATTATTATTTTCTTTCTTTGATAAGTGTTTTTATTACACGCTAACCAACCTCCAACTCTAATAATATATCCTTTCTTATCTTTAATATTTTAGCTTAAGTTCTACCTTAGTTTCTCCTTTACACTGTTTTGCAAAAATATTAAATACTAAGGAATTTTTAACAAAGGTAAATTTTGATTATTGAAGTAATATTCAATTATTTGTGTTTTAATTATTATTCTTGCTACGTTATTTGATAAAAATTATATTACTTTGAACTTTAAATTTCTTCAAAGTGTATTTAAAATTTTTTGTTTAGTATTTACCAATTTCTTTTGAAACTATGTATTTTTTATTCATTAACTGTTTATGTACTTGTACAAAATCACATCTGATTTTGTTAACATTTTAAAAATTACTGCAGTTTATCATGTGTTTGCGTACAAAATGTTTTTTACAAAATTTTAGACTTAACACCAGTTTTTGTAATAGCTTGGTATGAATTTATGATTCTCTTATAGGAATCTAATGTTCATACTTAACAATATTATTTATAATTTTGCCTTTACCTCTGATTTGCTAAACAAATAGAAAAAGAACCTAGCATTCTTAAATCAGTTTTCAACTTAATATAATTTCATAATTTATAAGAAGTTTATGTCATGCATTCTATAAACATTCAATGTTTTTTTCCCACTATTTTAAAATTATTTTTAAGGGTATGTTATTGATATAAACTATTATTATTGTAACTAAATGTTATTCTAATTATGGTAACTTGTAATACTGATTCAAAATAATATTATCGAGGCAATAAATTGTTGGATTATTATCAAAATACGTGTAAGATTTAATAGAATTAATGAGCATATGATTTCACTAAAATTAGCTTTATTTGCATTTGAAAAAAACTTTCTTTTTTTGAAACTATAACATTTAGGATATTTAAAATCAAAGTATTAATTTTAAAAACATACTTTAAAATGTATTTTAAGATACGAAGAAAATTATTTCCCTTAATTCTGCTGTCTGATCAGATAGTCAATTTATGCTTTTTACTAATGGTCTTCTTTTTTCTGCTAGAAAAAGAAATATTTTATTATAAAACATCACTTTTCTTTTGCTGTTAAATATAAAATTTTACTGGATACAATTGATCATCCTTTGATGTCAAAGAAGTAGAATGCATCATTTATGTATTGCTGCAACAATAACCTGTAATTTTTATTTTTTTTTAACTCAAGTACATTCTCTCCATTTGCAGAGATAATTTTGTTTTCTTACACCATTCTTACTTAATCATATTTTATAAATTTTAATAATCAAGTGATGGTCTATATATCAATATTTTATGTACTTCTTTCCTGGTTTAACTCCTGTTTTTTTTCTCCAACAACTCGAGAATGGTTATCATCTTGTTTCTAATACAATCTCAAGGTGGAGAGCCACCCACAGAACTTTGCTTCGATGACTATTGTTGTAATGAGGTTTAACAGTTCGAATTAATATGTATTTTTATTTATTGTGATACAATAAAGTTGTATCTTTTGAAAGTAAATCCTTTAGTTTTGTTTGCTATTTATTCTATTTTATCATTTCCACAATATTAAACATTGTAATATTTTTATTATTTTAGTTTAAGTAATAGATTAGTCCAAAAAATCTCACTTAGAAATATTGTCTACCAAGCTCTTCAATTATATTTGTATAAAAATTTAACTATTATATTTATACAAAAATTAAACTATTAGTAATAATACACAATCAAGAAGTTCTCATCACTCTAAAAAATTGCTTTTGTCATAGTAAACACGCTTAAAATAATTTTTCCTAAAAAAAAAAATTAAGGCTATAACAATTAAGGCAGACATAAAAGAGGAACACACGGAATAAGAGAATTTTTCCCTTACGGATAGTTAATTTTTTTTAAAATATGAGTTATGAAGTTATATGCTGGTGTATTAACAATAAAAAATGTTACTGCAACCAAATGCAATTGTAATTTAGAAACACCCACTTGCAGTTTTTTCAATTATTATTATTTTTTTATTTAAAGAAATCCAAATCAGAAACTTGGCATAAGAACTATTCCTAGTTATTATAATGCTTAAGAGAAATTGATCTTTATAATAGCACCGAAAGTATTAGTTTAAAAAAATATTAAACACACAAATTTATGATCTTTTTTGTTTCTTGAAAAAGCTATATCTATTTTTCAATGAAAGTCCAAAGAATAATTAAAAGGAGTGTTTTCTACTTTTTGAGTATATGCCAGTAAAAAATTTGCGGATTCTACTTAAAGCTTACATTTTTAAGCATCTCCGTTGACTTAAATAAGTATAAGTAATTTTCAAATAAATAAATATAAGTAATTTTCTTAAATATTTCTTTAACTTAGCCAAATAAAATAAATAGTAAAGGATAATACTTTTAAAAACATTGGAAAGATAATATTTTTTTTATTGCAATGAATTAGAAATTTTTAAATATTGCTCTCTTAAAAATTTAGTGGGCAATGCTTATTTTGCTTAAATAACACACACAGTTACAAAGAATACTATCATAAAAATTAAGTTATTAAAAGCGCTTTAAATTTTTAAAATGTTTTTTCTTTTAGGAATCAGCAGCAGTAAGTCAGTAGCAAGGTATTTTTTTTTTAATTCTAAGATTATATAACTGATAACATGCAACTTTTAAATTGTAAAGTTAACTCTTACAACTTTGTAAAAAGAGGCAACATAAAGCAAATTACATTTATTAAATAGTAAAAGCATTTTACAAAGTACACAATTCACTATTTTTATGCACAAACTTTTTTCAGATAATATTTTTACTAAAGCAGAATAATAATATTGTATAAGACTTAAGTATGACTTTATGCTCACATTTTCTTGCATAGCAATCATACTTTAGCATCAATAATAGAAAATGCTGTTCTAATATGTTTACAGTACTTTGGCATACAATAAAAGAAATTCATGATTCAACAGACACGATTATTTCAGTTCACGAGCATTGAACATGCACATTCAAACAAACATTCTTTCTTTAAGACTGAATTAAATCCAAACAAAATAATGACTTGAAAACACTATAGTTTCATGTATATTGGTATCATGTCTAGTTCAAAACACTTCATCCAAACACCACCAAAATTCTTGAATAAATGTTTACTTCTAATTAAACACTATCGATAGAAGTATATTAACAGTGGACAAATTGTGAATCCAAACAATGCAGATGAATTTTCAATTCACGCAGTCAAATCCCTGCTCAAAAAACCAGCATACTATTTTCACATCTTCGTAAATAGTTCATGCTAATCAACTCAGCTAGGTTGTGTAAATCACTTTCAGTGCAAAGTTTCTGTGTTATATTTAAATTATTTTGCTTATTTATTTATTTAACAGCATTTATTAGAAGTCTTATAATTGAAAATTCAAAATAATTATCAAATAGCAAATGAATAATAATAATAAAAAATAATAATAATAAAAAAAAAGAAAATATCAAGAGTACACAAATAAACATAAAATTTAATATTTGGAAGAAAAATTATAATTCTCTTAATTGGGTATAGATTATAAAGAAAATAATTCAATAAACAAAAAGACATTATGAATGTCAGCTTGTTTGCTTCGTGTTGCGTATCCGATTCAGATGACAATTGTCCCTGTTCTCTCTGGAGGAAGTACCTGGAGTACGCCTATCATCTTCATCATCACTAGTATATGTTGTTCCCATTGAAACCGCTCCCCGTGTACTCGTTGCTTGCATTAAATCCATATCTGGACCAGTTCTGTTTTCATAAAGAAGTATGTTCAGGGTTTCTTCATATATTCTTGCCTCCGGAAATTCAACCTGAAAATTATGAAACATTTATAATTCAACCAAAGGAACTCTTTAACGATGTGTAGTACTTTCTAGAAAGTAATATATAGCGTGATAAACATATATTCATAATAAAATTTATTTTTTGAAGGAGATCTTAGAACTTGTAATATAATCAATACTTATGAGCAAGGATATAAATCAAGATAATTTATTCACTGGTTCAAAGGATCAATAACTAAAAAAAAAAANAAAAAAAAAAAAAAAAAAAAAAAAAAAAAAAAAAAAAAAAAAAAAAAACACTGGTCCTGTCACATAATCTTAATTTATGTCCCAAAAGTAACTTTCATTTCCAATTAAGACATTTTATATTATAACATACATAACACTTATACATAATAAAATTTAACTTCGGAAGGAATTTGTAAATATAATTAATACTTTTGTGCAACATTAGAAATCAAGAAAATTTAATCATGCAACAAATACCTAAAAAAGAATCATTCATCCTTTCACATTATCTTATTTCATATACTAAGAGCAATTTTCATTTCCATTTAAGACTTTTTATTTAATTTCATTTTACATGAACAAAAAAAAAAATACAAACAAACTAAATTATGTAATATAAATTTCATTCATTGATACATTTTGATACACTAGAAAGAAAATCCAATTCAGAATTTTGTAAGTCTTTTTACTACTACTTCTATTAATAATAAAAATCTTACAGAGAATCAATTGAAAGATATAACAAACCTTAGTATGTTTTTTGTCTGTAGCATAGACAATTGAAGTACAGCAGACTTCAGCAACTTTTCTCCCATGTCCATAAAAAGACCAGCAACAGATCTCATTACTTCCAATGACATCTTTAATGAATAAAACTCTTCCACTAAATCTCAAAGATAACTTGTCAAACAATTCTACATTCTTCATTAAATTATCATCAGAGGTGCTGAAAAGAATTTATAAAAAAGATATCAGGGAGGGGGAAAAAAAGTAAAATTTTAATGTAGATAATGTAGAAACTTGCATGTGATTTTAAAATACAAAAATATTTGTATAAAGAGCTTTTTTTTTGGAAAAAAAAAACTGCTTTTAACTTTTCAACTGTCACACCCAGAATAATATTGGGCACGGCACTGGTGTTCCAAAATGTCACGCCAATATAATACTTGGGGTAATTTTTTTAGTGCCTTGTATTGTTACGAAACATATGTTGTATCCAAATATAGATCGGGAGAAGCTTATTTCGGCCTTATCTTTGTCAAACCCGAATCTATCTGAGGAAAAGTTAATTTAGAACAATAGCAGAATTTATTGAAGGTTTCAGAGGATAGAGGTTTATATTTAAAGCGCACAGCATTTTATTTGTTGCAAAATAGAGTCCAGTTCTTTGAAATGTTACATAGATTATTATTTTTTTTTGAAAATAATTAAATTACTGAGTGGCAGCCGCCTCAAGCAAATATACAGCGGCTGCATAAACTTGCATGTTTCAAAATATCCATTTTTAACTACTAAGTATATTTTATTTTGTATTAAACATTTGATTTTTCCAATAAAAAAAATGGCAATTTAAGTAGCCAAATCATTAAAATAACTTGACAGTTAAAAGGTTAAACTGTTTGAGCTATTTTGTGTTTACACAACAGATATGTGACAAATTAATGAGACAGAACATGTGACATGTCTATAGGGCAAATTAATGAACATGACTACTGATAAGTCAAGGAAGTACTGCCCATTAAAAACATTAACATACATATAGAATAATTTTAAACTCTTGCATAGTAATAAAATTTCAAAAAAGTATAACTTTCTGTTTTAGCAATTTTATTAGAAAGAAAAATGAGATTTATACTTTAAGGGAGTAAAACAAAATTTTTAAATAAAACTTCTTTAAGGATACCAAACCGGTACTCTTCATTTCCTATCTGTGAGAAAATCAACATCATATTCAATATTTAAGCACAATAGAAAATTCTTCTGCTTTTCATAACCTAAGAGCGATTTCCCAGTTTGAACTGAACTAATCAAAAATTAAAAAAACATTTTCCATTTCAGATCTGATTAGTAAATTATCGAGCAATTATATTAGATGTTTTGGCTTTCAACTGTTATTCTAAATTATGGTTTTCTACAAAATTATGGGTTCAATATTCAAAATGTTAATTTTAAATGTATGTTTTTATTTGAGTGCAAAAGGTACCGTAGATGAAAAAGGTATTGTCTATAAAAGAAATCCTACAAAAAATGGGGGATATTTTGATACACTTTTAAAATGATCAAAACAGAAAAATTTGTAATGCATTCGTTGTCTAAAAACACATTAATTTTGAAATTTTGGATACACACAGTATACATCAGTTCATGTATTTTTCCTAACCCTGAAGGGTTTATACTTCAAATAAATTATGCAATGTGTATGCATAATACAGAAATGTTTTTTTTTTTTTTTTTTTTTTTTTTTTTTTAAATTTTTAAATCATGTGCTTTTATTTTTTTTGTATTTAGTTCATTTACTGAAATACAATTTACTGATCACTGAAATATGCATTTTTCCATGTAATTTTGTATAAAAAAATACACACATAAATCTATAAAACAAAAAATTAATAATTTGAAAGAGCAAGTAGGTTTAATAATTGCAAAGAAAATTGACAGGAAATGATAAGATGTGAAAAAATCTATTTGGTGGGTATAAAGACAGTTTGTTTTTTTATTTATTTTTAAGTAGCTCCAATCTGAAGAATTCGGGGTTTTCTAGGCTCAGCTTACCTTGGCTAAAGTACTGTCACACACGCATATGTATATTATACAGTTAGCATTTAAATCAGTAGTTCAAACAGAACATTACATAAAACTTTCTTTATGTAGAATAAATAAGTCATAGGCACTATCAACTACAAATAACATGATAGTATTATGAAGTACTATAGTATTATTATGCCCATTTTTAAATTATACAGATGTTTCTTAATGGTAGAAAATTCATAACATGTCATTACAGCAGGAAAAAATATTCCTTAACAATACAAAATCAACGAAACACTGGTTAATTTCTGTTTTAAACCCTAATTGGACTGTGTTTGGTTTAGTATGAATAATAATATTCATACTATAATAAGAAAGTGAAATTTTTTTTTCTTCTCCAAATCTTTAATTTATTTTTACTGAATATTGACTATGAGCTTTCAATCATATCAGTAAAAATACATCACAAATGCAAATGATTTTGGAAAACTTACTTTGTATAAGAATATTTATTATTATGTCGATTAATCAGCAATTTCACAACAGGCTGAAAAAAAATGATGACAGAAGTTAATTATATATATATATTAATAGTTGGTAAAAGAAAACATTTAAGGTAAAGTTTTTTAATTAAAAAAAAAAATGAAAACAATGGTACAATGAAAATAAGTAAAAATTTCAAATTAGATTTATACAAATACAGATAAAATTGTAAATTAATGATATGCTTTAGTAATAATGATTTATCAATAAATAAAGAATAAAATATTTTTTTGTCATTTATCTCAACCTAAGCAAGCGTTAAACATAACAATATTCTAATAAATAATGCAATGTTACATAAAAAGTTATTTAAAATTTGTATTGGGAAAATATTAGAATCATAAATGAAAACATATGCACAAAATTGTTTACACTGATAATTTTTAAAAATAAATACATGAGCATAATAATAAAAATAAATTTTCGAGTAACATCTCATTCCTTTTTTCAGCACATGATTATAACAGGAATACTGTAACAAGATTAAAATAGAGCAATTACGACATTTTTGATCATATCATATTGAATTTGATCACATTTATTTGTTATATAAATTTGTGCAGAAGAGGAATCAAATATAAACATTTAAAAAATAGATATTTATTCCCAGTTAAAATTAGATAAATTCACATGAGCAATTGAAAAGATTTTGAAATTTGAAAATTGAGAAGACTTTTCGAAAAAATTTCTTAAATTCAATTATATTTAAACTGTATTAAAATAACAAAATTTTAAATTAGAAAGATTTAGAAAAAAATAAATAATATAATTAAAAATATGTACTTTAGTACAAATAAACCTAAATAAAATAAAATCTTTTAATTATGGATAAAATAATAATTTATTAGTATAAGCAGAAGAAATTATAATTAAATCTATCATTATAAAATCATTTTAGACTTTTGACTGTTTTAACCAGGTTTTGAGACTTGTAATGTCAAAAGTAGTATTTGAAGTCAACCATGGATAGAGATAAATAGAAATTAAATACATATAGTAGTTTAAACAAATTGGAATCTTTATTTCAAGATATTTGAAAGGGCTTATTGTTTACTTTAGTTGAAGAATTAATGAGCATCAACTCTTCTTTGGATGAAGTAATAAGTGGAACTCTGCAAATAGGTTCAAGATCCATTTCTCTTTTTCTTAAAGCAGATTCACAACACTCAGAAAGTTCTTGAATCAAATAATATTTCGCTTCAGCTAAGAGTTCTGCTATTTCTCGAGTTGAGTCCGGTAAGGGAACAGAACCGTCACGTAAAAAATTGAGAATAGTACCAAAATGTCTACCACAGCGATCAATTAATATCCAACCTGAATTTGAAAAAAGAAAGCAAAAATATTGTAATGGATAATTTAATAAAAATAACAGATAACCAACTTTAAATGATACATTAAAATAATCTTTGACAATAATAATTGCTAAATTAATAAAGAATATTGAACATTATTGTTTTTAAATTGAAAATATTTTTACAAAGTAATCTATATGTTCTATCTCCCCCCCCCCTTTAGGAAAAATTTTATTCGAATTAAGGAATAATTAGCCTTAAGATAGATATATAACTAAAAAAAAGACTAAGTTTAGCCTAATAATGAATACAAATTGGGGAGATTTCCATACCATGATCTGTGGCAACTTTCGGGCAGTGGTCCGAAAGAAACTAAAAAAAAAAAAAAAANATTTGGCAAATTCCAGGCAGCGGCCTGAGAGAAAAAAAAAAAACATCACAGAAAGGGACCAACACCAACTTGAAAGGTATAACTTATAGCCACTCCCGACCAAAGATCTACAAGTTTTTTTTTATATTTTAAAATTTGAAAGTTTAAAATCTATTTGGCACCATGGTGATTCTAGTCGGTGCAACAAATCATGTTACGGATATATCCCCCACAAATTCACAACAGTTATAAAAATAGCACATTATTAATTAAAAAAAAAAAAAAACATTACATACTAAGACTTATGTTTTCATATAAAATCATATCGTACCAGACCTAAACAATTATTAATAATATAATAACATATTTCAACATGTTTTTTTGAAAAATATAATAATGAAAGATACCTTCAGAATCAGTTAAAACTTCCATGCGACCACTAAACATAGCTCTAAGCATGCTATCATTTTTGGTTAATGTTCCTATAGTTGTATAATGCAAAGATCCACCAACGTTTAATTTCACATACTGACTTGGAGCTCCTTTAATAACAGTTCTGTGGTCCCCAGACATAACAGGATTCCGTTTTGGAACCAGGGTGACTGTTATTGTTAAGGATGGTCCCTATAAGAAATGTCAACTATATAGCTCATACTTAAATTTGTCATTTCAAATAATAGATATTTTATATATCTCATTTTTCATTGGTTTCAAATTGGAAACCCACAGTGTCTTTTTTTTTGCAGGCCCATATCAATCAAAATGTAATAATAAAAAATTTAATTTTAGCTTTACAACTGCAAATAACTTTCATTTCTATCAAATTTATAAAATTAAGTACCACTATACTTCCTTATTTAAAATCTTAAAAGAAGCAAACAATTTAAATTTCTTTAGAAATTCATTAAATTTATTTTTCTTATAAACTAGACTGCAACTTAAAACTGTTTAAAAATTTTTTTTAATAAGGTATTTCTTTTAAAAAGCTCCCACCCTGAAAGAAACTTGTTATACCTATGCTGAAGTGCATAGATACAGTTTTAAATTTATCAAAAATCATAGCAGAAGTTTCCAAACAGATTTTCTTTATTCTATCTCATATGTCAACAGAGCTAGAAGTGAACACCTGTTTTTTAAAAGACAGGCCCCAATTCTCTCACTGAGCATTTTGGTGAGTTTCTGGATCTTTCTTTACAAATAGACTATTTTGAGATAGTGAAAGGTTTTAACTAAACATGTGTACTGTTTCTACCTAAATTATGCCATCAATCTGACACCTTCAGAATCACCATTAGTGAGGGAATATTATGAATTATACTTTTTGTCAATTATAAAAATCCCAATTAAAGATCAAAAGTTAATTTAATACATAGAAACAATACTATAAGTGTTAATAAGATAAATGTTGGACAAGAAAAGTATAGGTATTTCAGTGAAAAATAATGTATTTGTAGGTGGATGAAATAAGATGTTAAAAATTAAAATTTTTTTTTTTTGTTGAGATAATTAAATAAAGACATCTTCAAAATATATACTGAACAAGTAGCTTATTCATTTTTCTATAGAAAAAACGGCAATATCTATTTACATTATTTTAGATATTTGCTGAGAATTACTATTCTTGTCCTTTAATTTATAAAGATTTGATTTTATATAAATTTTAAATATTTGCATTACTTGCTCTCAAACTAAATTGCTTTAATCTGGACACTTTTTAAAGATGCAATATAACTAGTAAAAATAACTATTTTTTATTAAATTCAATGATGCATAACATGATTAAGATGACACCAATTATGATAAAAAGTCAAAATCTCCTCCAAAGAATCTAGAATGCATTGCAGCTTATCATAATACTGTGCTTTCAATTGCAATTCTTGGACACTTAAAAGTTGAAAACTTCCGTTCTAAGTATTGATGTTTGAAATCATAGGTGGTCTGCTGTTCTAGAATACATTTTGGATCACCAGAAAGTAATACTCAGTAATCTGTAGAAAAATACGTTATTGGCAAGCAAATGTGAAATGTAGATGAGTTGGATACATTTAAACATGATTTCAAACAATAATTTAAAACGTGTACTTGAACTTTAAATTCCACTATATATTGAATTGAATACCATATGGACCATTTAATATCCAAATATAAATAAGTTGCTTTAAAGTTTTGAAAATAAATATAAAAAATTTAAATGTAAACAAAGGTGTCAATGGCTATTTTTATTTTTAAAACTGTCTTTATAAAAGATAACTTCCTGTTATTTTAATACGGACCTGGTAGGTTTTGATCGCTGTGATTGATGATGTGGGGAGCTTCTTGAATCGGACTCTAATCGCTATTGATGATACTTCTGCATGCTTATGAATAAAATTAAAACTAGCTTCATTTAAAGCAAAAATTATTCATTCAACTCATAATTTGGTAATAGATAATGAAATACTTCCGATATTCTCAAAATGAACCTAATTTCTAAAATATATTTATACATTATTCCCAAAATATACAATTAGAAACATTATAATTCATTAATATATAAGTACTTATCTATATTATCTACCTTAGTTGGAATTTTTGAGGTAAAATTTAGTTCTATTTTGCATGGATGTTTCTCATTAAGATGTCAGGCTCACATCATTAAGTGGAACTATACACAACAATGAAGGATTAAATGTCTCACTGTTTTTCTTTACATCAGTTTAACTTTTAAACTGGTACACTACAAAGATTGACCATAATTATATGGGATTTCCCTTTTAATAATGGAAAACAGAAAATGGAGCTCCGTATCCATTATTTCATATTTATTTCGGAACTACTTCTTCAGAGGACGATTAATCGAAAATACAAATTATTTTATAGAAGACAAGTATTGAGTAACATTTATTAAAGCGCGTGGGTGGTAAGCATGAGGACCATTCTCACTGTATTCAATTCATATCGTTCATACGTAAATGAAAGAAGCGTCATTTCCACTACATCCGATTCGCACATATGGACAAATGCGCTTGCGATTTGCCAATGCGGTAGCATGTTGAGAAATACTTAATTAGTGGATTTACTGCGGGTTCTCATTCTCCTTCAATGGAGGTGTATGAATCACATGCTGTGAAAATAGCCTTACTGCAACCATTTTCACTACACTTGTTGTTATTTTCGTATGCCTGTTACGGCATAGAGGTGCGATTGTTCTTGTTTTCCAGTGGCGCCATCTATGGATAAGAATTCAAGTTCTGCCACACCCATACGTCACGCTCATTTATAGGATGGACCCATTCATACAATCACAGAATGTAATTTTGACCTGAATCAGAGAACGATCAATCTTCAATTCAGTACCCCCAGAGGATTGATTTGTTATGGGAACATGCAGTACTTTGCGACTCGACAGATTTAACGTGCATCAGTCTCCTTTTTACTACACGGGGAGTCTTCGACCGGCGGGGTTCGAACCCACGAACTCTCGGACATGGGCCCAGTTCCCTACCGACCAGGTTATCCCAGCCCTTCACTACACTTGTCTACTGCATTAACTTGCACAAGTGTTTAGATACTACGGAGGGAATTTTTTGCTCATATAAATCACGTGTGCCTGCGTTTGTAATGCATGCATTGATTCAATAAGAATCTGCGTTCCAAAAAAATTTAAAAAATTGTAGAAAATTTTCTAAGAAAACATTTAAAAACTCACCTCTTTGCAAGTCGAGAAAAAAAAATTATTGCTGTTGGAGAATCGCCGATCGAAATGGGCTACAGTTTTGAGTAGAACAGAATTCTTTACTTATGGCAACACTGGTGTGGAGAATCATAGGAGAAGGCAGTACGTTAGTTTCTGTCTTCATTTTCAAATTTATTAAAAAATGTTTAAGTTGGGAAACTATATGCAACTGAAAACTATATTGAATATAGTTCTAAAAGAAGGCGTCGTGGAAATTAAAAAAAAAATATTTTTGACATTTACTTAGAAATATTTTGAATGTGGAAAATATCTAGAAAGTGGAAAATATCGTAGTACATTCTATACAACAGGGAAGAGGAAGAGAGAGCAGAGGAGAGGGGAAAGACATATAATGGGTCGTTTCCTCAGATGTCGTGTTCAAGCATTGCGATCGAAATCCCTGAGACGGATCTCTCTCTTCGAAGAGTATTAATTCGGAATGATAAAGCAGTTAGTCTTCAAATATTCGTAAATAAATTTTACTACCAGTTTTTTAGTTTCTTAAGATCTCTTGTCAGCTTACTACTTTTCTTTTTGTAGTGCTTTTAAAGTGATCTCATGTTTTTGGTAAAATGTCCATTCATTTACCAGAGAGCTAAAGTTGAATTCAGTGATTTAAAATATAAAATTCAAATCTCCAAAACAATATTAGTAGTTAAATTTACAAATGTAGTTAACTAGAAACTATTTTGGAACTGTAGTAACACTACTTCTCACTACTTTAAGGAGACGAACTTTGCTGGAGAACTTAATTTATTCTTATGCTCAAAATTGCTTTGAATAAAATATTGGCTTACATTAAATGTAAGGGAATAATTAAGAAATTTTTACTCATGTTTACAATAGCCAGTTTGTGAGTCAAAAATGTTTTTTTCGAATTTTTTCGAATAACCTTCATTTTTTAATGCCTTTTTCGACGGCGAATATTTAATTTCAAAAAAGCGAAATTATCAAATACTTGTAATTTTTTAATGCTCTTTTATTTCCTCTAAGAAATTAAGTACACTAAAAATACGTTCCTTTCCTTTGAAATCATCAGTGTTTCACGAATGTGCATTCGCATGTAAAAGTGTGACCTTAGTGATCAGTTATCTATTTTTCGCAATGGCTGGTTTAAATATTAGTTACATGTTATTTTAAATGCGTAATTTCTGTTAACAATCAACTGTAGCAACAGAATCATTTTCAACGAATCCACTGACGGACCCGCGAAGATTTGTTCCCGTCAAATTAGTTGCTGTTAAAACTGTGTTTTTTTTCTAAATTAACTTTAAAAGTAATTGCCTGGAATCTCTACAAACTACTGTTTTATTTTTTTTTGTGTCGTACTACTTACTACATCAATGTTTAAAAAAATAGCACACTACACAACGAATTTCTATATAAGTAGCGACTACAGTAGTTTCACTACTTCTAGTGCTTTAATTCCAACCACTGGTCTCACTGTGAGTCGCATAGATAAAGTAAGCTTGCGATAGAATAGCGTAAGCAGTTCATAACAGCATTATCCAAAATATTAAATGAGTTCTTTTTTCACTGCTCGGTTAATTTATTAGGAGCAAAATTTAAATTAGATGAAGGAATTTTAAAAGAATGTTGTAGTTGTTGTAGTTCATTTACGTCGCACTAGAGCTGCGCAATGGACTATTGGCGACGGTCTGGGAAACATCCTTGAGGATGATTCGAAGACATGCCATCACAATTTTGATCCTCTGCTGAGGGGATGGCACCTCCTCTTCGGTAGCCCGACAACCTGTGCGTGAAGTCGAGCACTTTACGGTAGAACAGTTTAACGAGGACCAATACAGCACACCCTCGGCCCCTACGCAGACTGATCCAAGTGGTTAACGACCCGCACACTGACCGTAACCAGTGATGCTTGACTTCGGTGATCTGCTGGGAGCCGTGTCTTAACGATCAGTCCACTGTGAGACTTAAAAGAATGATTACATTTATAAATTACTGTTTTTTTTGTAACATTATATTGTAACTAACAGATAATTTATACAAAGTAAACACATGTTAATTAAGTATTTAATCAACATTTTTTACAATTTTCTGTAATTATTTACGGGATAATTAAATTAAGTCACCTAAAAATTATTAGTAAAATATATAAAAAATTTTTCTGTACTTTTCTGTGTTCCTACAATTTAACAGTGTATGTTTGGAAGTCGTGTCGCAATTGACTGCATTATTGTCAATTTTCAAAAGTCTTCGCCAAACGTACATCTCAACAATTTCTTATGATAAATTTTTTTTCTTCCTATAGGAAGCTATTTTACGATAGTTTGTTTCAAGCTTTTATTATTTGGACCACTTTCTAATTGGTTATACGGCGGATCTACGGAAAATTACTGTAATCGAATAAAAAATCCTGAATTGTTTAGAAAAAAATCAATTTGACGTAATTTTAATTTCTTTCCAGTGTAAAAAATCATTTGCCAATACTCTCTTCAAAACACAATTTTATTCGCCAACTTTACGATTTTATCGCATTAGGCGAGGTGTCGAATGCTTAGCGTGGGCTCTGATAATCTGGATAGGTCATCTAAATGCTCACTACTCTTTTTCTTAAAATTTTTATTATTCTATTTTGAGCAACAAGTTTCCTGAATCCTGAATATATTAAAAGTGTGTATTGTCACCTCTCTTACACTCACCGTTTCTCACACAAGCTCACTTAATTTTCAAAGGGATCATCTTAGCAATTTTTACAAAAATTCTACCAGGAATCTTTTCACTTCGGAATTAGCGAAGTCTGGTTTATAGAATAGGGATCAGGGTTGTGTAGCATTTATTACACTTAAAATAAAGTATAAAAGAAGTATAAGAATAAAAGTGATGATATTTTATTCCATTAATAATACCGTCGCAGAGTCAATTTTGAGTTTACAACTACCAATGTTCAACTCCGTAGCTTTGTAATTCGAACCCAGTTCAAAAAACAAAGGAGCTCTTGGATCAGGTATTGGAAAATTTCCCTCGTAGAGGAATTTTTGATGGAATAACTTGCATTTGTGTTCACGAAAAACTTCTACGGTTAGCCTAATGGCAAGGGGACTTAACCATGATCCGTCTACCACTGAGGAAATTCAACACCAGCACAGGTGCCAGTCAGGTGCGAAATTCGTATCGACCAGCCATCGCTGGGAATCGTACCCGGGCCACCTCATTGGGAGGTAAGCGCTCTGTACCCTGAGCCGGCTCAAGGTGAGACAAACGTGAGTACAACTAAGGGAAACTCGAATAAGATCACGAGAATTGAGTTAGCCGTTGTGAAGTTTGGCGAGCGATCGTTAGCAAAAAATGCCGTGGCTCATAAATTAAAAAAAAAAAAAACTTCTGTTTCTTACTAATATAATGAAAACTTAAGGCCCAGAAATAATTATTTGCAAATTATTGACAACAGTTTTTGGGTAAAAAATATTTATGATCAAAATGTGCAGCATTAACTACAAAAAATTGCAAAGAAATTTAAATTATGAATTAAATGATGTGAAATGGCGTTTTCTCTCTTACGAAGATTGCATATATACCTATTATATGTATAGCATATATTATCTAGTTGCTTGGGGCAATCAGATTTTCTTACCCCCCTCTCCAGTTTTTGCAGCTTAGAAAAGCCCTAAAATAAAATTTAACTTTAAAAATAACACAAAAACAAATATAACAAAATATTTCTAATGATTTAAATTCAAATATTATAAGAACTATTTTTCCTTAAAGTTTAGTTTAGTTTCTGTCAATAAATCGTAATAAAGTACTTTTTTTTCTGTTCATATAAAACGCGGTGAATCATTACATGCACAAAATTTTCACCAGTGATTTTTCGATTCCACTTAAACGCATTAAATTTTAAAGAGATTTGAGAATGTAAATTCGTAAAATTTCTTTTCAGAATAACTTATTTGAATGTATTCTTTTCTTTTTACCTTCATTTCTTTCAAAAACGCAATGTTGCATAGAATAGAAACGAATTTATCACTTTTCTTTTTGAGGATAATATTTTTCGAATCTTCGATAATCTTTTCGATGTTAGAATTTTTTTTTTTTTTAACTTGGTTTATCATGAGAAAATATTTTATATTCAGTCGTTCAAGTCGAGTTACATTTGTAAGCCGAAACATTATTGCATGCAGTATT